GTTCAGAAGACGCGGGGGTTACGTCATCCTCCGTGTTTCAGAACAAAGTTTTGCCAGCTTGCCTGTTCATTATGTCGTTTCATTTCCTGAAACAGTGGAAAGTTTTACAATGTGCTCTTTATGTGGAAATGTAATATAATTTCTTTCATTCCCTGTCTCAAAGTACCTGACATTTGAATCTGCGCCTTTAGGATGGCCCCTTCCCAGCCCACTCCCAAATGCCCTGTATCTTTGGCGTGTGCCTTTGCTGTGTCGTGAGATCCAGCGGCCTTGCTGAGCGGGAGCCTTCCAGGTCTCAAGTGTGGCTGTTTTACTGTGTCCTCCTCCCCGTGAAGCTGTCCCAACATGGGACAGTGACGACGAGAAGGCCGACCTGCACGTCCCGGATTCCATTTCCCTGGACAGGACTGTCGGGCTCCGTGAGCAGCGCCGGCCGAGAGTGCGCCTTGCACTGACCCCCAGAGTTGCGAGGACTCTCTCCAGAAGGTGCACAGTTTTCACGCCCACGAGGGACTGTACGTTTGTGTCACCTGAACATTCCAATGCTGAAATTCTAGCCCCCATGAGCCGCATTGGGAGGCGGGGCCTCTGGGAAGGTGGAGCCAGTGTCCCTGGAAAAGGGACCCTCTAAGCCCCTCCCACTGTGTGAAGGCAGAGAGAAGGCGGCTGTTTGTGAACCAGGAAAAGGACCTCACCAGACCCCAAGTCTAACAGCGCCTTGACCTTGGATTCCCCAGCCTCCAGAACTGGCAGAAATACAGTTTGTTGCTAAGTCGCCCAGTCTCGGGCATTTGCTGTTAGAGCAGCCAGATAGCACCCTTCGATACATTGCTTACCCAGACTTAACACAACTGCCCAGTGACCTGCCTCTGGTTATTTTCTATTCTTTTTTAACCTGCAAAACTTTATTAGAGAAAGTTTCAAAAATACATACAAAAATAGAAGGACCAGCACAGCAAAGCCCCACATGCCTGTCACCAGCTGCCGCAGCTGACCTCGCACGGCTGATCCGGCTCTGCCTGCGCCCCCAGCCCTTCTCCCCTCCTGACTGCGGGGTGGTTTGGAGGTGCGTGCCAGACACCACGCCATTGGACCGGGTCATTTACAGGTGGCTACAGAAATCGTGACATAAGTGATATGCGTGCAGGTAGTGCCTGCTGGATACGTAAGGAGTGAATATGCATCTCCAGAAGGCAAGGGCTTGAACAGTGCTCACGGTTCCACTCTCATGCCTGAACACTTAAAATTTCCCTTAGAAGCACAAAATACCCAGTTAGTGTTAACATTTCCCCTGTGGTCTTAATATATTTTTGTTTTTTACCGTTGGTTTGTGTTACTCAGGATCCAAATGTGGTTTACACCGTACTTTTGACTGATGTGTCTCTTACGTGTCTTTTCATTGAGAAATTTCCTCTCCCTCTTGGAACTCATGAATGTTATTTCCATAGCCATGTTTACTATGGCACACACTTCGTATTCTAGATTGTTTAAAAATTCTGGCAATGCGAACATTGTCATGTTTTTATTATAAAAGATGCATAAGTGTAACTGAGAAAAAATTTCAGTATCAATTATATGAAAGTAAAATATTATTTTTGTTTCACCACTTCAAAATGACTGTCAACACTTTGGGATTATTTTCTACTAATCTGTATATATTCAATGTATAATTTTATGTAGTATTCCCTCTGCTACTACTGTGGGCTTAATTTGCTCTTCTTTTTCTACTTCTTAAGGTAGACACTTAGATTTTCATAAATTTTTTTGCTTTTCAAGTATCAACATTTACAACTATACCTTTCCATTGAAGCATGTTGAATTTTCATTATCAGATAATTAGAAATATTTTCTCATTTTCTTTGTGATTTATTTCATCTGTGTTTTGTTTAGAAATATGTTGCTTAATCTCCAAATTTTGGGGGATTTCCTAGATGTCTTATTGTTACTAATTTCTAATATACTCCGTATGATTTCAGTCCTTTTAAATGTGTTGAGACCTGGTTCATGGCCAACAATAACTTACTTTGGGGAACATCCCTTGTACCTGCTCTTTGTGTGTAATGAACTTGTCCCTTTGGACCTATCCACACACATAAGCATGAAACTGGACCCTCACGTCACACATAAAAACTAACTCAAAATGGCTTGAAGCTGCATGAATGAGGTAAAACTGAAGCTGGATGAGAAAAGAACAGGTGTAAATCAATCTTCGTGATGTCAGTCTGGGCAGAAAGGACCCCAAAAGCACAAACAGTGAAAGAACAAACTGATAAAATTGCATCTCATGAAAATTAAAAATGTTTTTGCCTCAAAGGACAGTATTAAGAAAGTAAAAGGACAACACACAGTATGGGAAAAAGTATTTGCAACTCAGATATCTGATTAGAAATTTGTACCTAGAATACATAAAGAACTCTTACAACTCAATGATAAAAAGACTGATAACCTAATAAAAAATGGGCCAGTGATCTGAATAGAAATTTTTCTTAAGACAGTGTACAAATAGCCAGTAAGCACATGAAAAGATGGTCAGCATATTTTCCGTCAGAAAAATGTGGATAAGAGCCATGGAATATCACCTCACACCGAATTAGGATGGCTATAATTAAAACCCACCCACCTGCATGCGCGAGTGCGCGCGCGCACACACAGTAGCAAGGTTGGCTTGGAAGTGAGGATATCAGAACCTGGGGAGGTAAAATTCAGAAAACAGCCTAGTGAAACATAGAGTTACTCCATGACCTAGTAGTTCAACTTTTTGGTATAGTCGCCGTAGACCCAGGAGACATGAAAACGCATGTCTGCAGAGCCTTTGCATGGATGCTCATGACTGCATTATTTGTAATATCCCGACGTTGGAAACAAACCAAAGGCCCACTAGCTGACATGGGTGAATCGAATGTGGCCTCTCTAGTCCATGGAATGTTATTTGGCAGTTCATAGGAATGAAACACTGATAAGGGCTACCGCGTGGGTGAGTCATGAAAGCCTCATGTGAAGTGAAAGAAGCCAGTCACGAGGGACCACTGAAGAGGTGACTCCATTTAATGAAATACCCAGCGCAGGCAAGTCTGTAGAGACAGGAGGTAGGTTAGGGGACCGCTGTGGTTGGGGATGGCAGTATTATGGGCTTGGGCGGTGAGTGCTAAAGGCTATGGGATGATGAAACGTCCTAAAATTAATTGTGGCGATGGCCACGTGACTTCGTGAGTGTACTAAAACCCATCAAACTGAACGTGCACTTTAAAGGAATTCTGTCGGGTGTGAATTGTATCTCAAATTCTTAAAAAAATAAAGGCACTAGGAGCGCCAACAGTTCAGGACCAGAGCCCTTGATATGACTTAATATCTTGGTGACTTTGGAAAAAGAATGGCTCAGCTGAAGTTAATCGATTTGAACAATTCAAACCCAATGGGGAAATGAGCATTGGATGGATGTTAAGAGAAGAATAAAGTCTCGGATGAATGAAACCTACGTGATCTAAAATTTTAAAAACTCAAGTTGGTTGATAATGTTATTCATGTATTACATATTCTTACTGATTTGATTATTTCATTTGTCAGTTTTTTGCTGCATATATTTTAGAGTTCTATTACTAGGTTTATGATTATTATGCCTTCCTGATGTATCTAACCCTCTTATGACATAATGCTGTTACCTTTAATTATAGTACTTTAATACTTGCTTTGAAGTCCACATCGTTTGATGCTAATATAGCCATATCAGCATTCTTACATTCAGGGTGTGCATTTTATATTTTTCCCCACATTTTTATGTTCAGTTTGCCTGGATGTTTGTATCTAAAGTGCTTTTAAAAAAAATTATTGATTTTTTTTTTTGAGAGAGAGATGGAGAGAGAGAAACGTCAATTTGTTGCTCCACTTATCGATGCATTCATTGGTCCGTTCTTGTATGTGTCCTCACAGGGGATCAAACCCGCGACCTTGGCTTATTAGGACGACACTCTAACCCACTGAGCTGCCCGGCCAGGGCCAAAATGCTTTTCTCGTAAACAGCATAGTTATGTTGTAAATTTATTTGGCCCCAGAGCCTATTTTTTTAATCTAACCTCTGTTAGCCAAGTAAATTTGGGGGAATGCTGCTCTAGGCAGGAGAGTGCAAATTAGAAATTTGCAAGAAGAGCAAAATAGAAAACTTGAACTTCATTTTTTTTTTGAATTAGATGATTTGTCTCTATTACATGATATTACATGAGTACATTATCATTATACTCATGTAATATCTTTTTGTTTTCCTGCAACCTGCTTAAAACTGATAATGCAGCATAGCAGACCAGCTGCTTCAGTGCCTTACATTCTGAAAATCACTTTTTATACTGTATGAGCAAATTAAGCAAACATTTTGTTTTTCACTAGATAGATATTTGCAAAAAACAAAAAAAAAAAAAACAACAACCCCAAAACAAAAAACAACACACAACTATACATTGCACTCCCTCAAGAGGAAGAAAAATGCACTGGTATTGGATTGAAAGGGAAGCTACAAGTAAGATATATTGAAACTCAAGGCAGTACAAACCAAACATAATAGCGATTCGATCCTATTTTATTTCTGAAGAATTGGTTAAAAATAACCTTTGGAGAGTTTAGACTTAGACTCAGGCCATGGCATGGAAATTCTCACAAGCGGTTTACGTTTTACGTACCCTTAAATTTGTGCGCCCTTACGAAGAAAGCGAGCAGTTACCCAGCTAAGTGGGCGCTAATCGCATATTGAAGGGAAACGCTCTCCATGCTGCCCCTCCTCTTGGTCAGAGGGAGAAGGGGGTCAGGCGGCGCTCCCCTCTAGGGGACCTGCGTCTCCCGTGGTAGCTTTGCCATGCGCCCCCCGCCCCCGTCCCCTCCCCATGCCCTGCCCCTCAGCTCCTCGAGGGGACGCCCAGGTTGCCCTGGTGTCCCCTGCCTTTACGTCGCATGAACGTGGTGGTGGGTGCCTCTTTCTACGATGCTACAAAGCTCACTTTCCCCATTGCTCCTAGTCAAACTGCAGCTCCAAGCCGAGGAGAGAGGGGTCGTGTCCATCAAAGGAGTGTGCGCCAACCGCTATCTCGCCATGAAGGAGGATGGCCGGCTGCTGGCTTCCGTGAGTAGCGCCTTCTGCTTTGCGGTTGTTCCTGTGTTGGCTGTGTGCTCTTCCTGCCTGCTGGTGGTATTTATTAAGTCTTAATTAAAGGTTTTACAAGTACTGTGCTATTTATTATCCACGTTTACCCGATAACATGCAGAGTATTAGGGCCTTTGTTTCACAGGTAGGGAAGCTGAGTGCCAAGGGAGTCATCAGGTGAGTAGGGCAGCCTGGCTGCCTTGAGGCAGGGCCTGACCCCCAGCTCACTGCAAAGCTGTTAAACTACAGTTCCGTTTTGTTTTTTGAAAATCCTTATATTGTGCAGTCATTTGAAGATCAGCAGTTTCTTCTTGCAGATATGCAGTACAAACTCTTGCACAGGGGAACACCATTCGAGAATGTGGGCTCTTATCCCAGGTGTCAATGCCAGGGTTGCTATTGATTAGCTGTGGGGTCTTGGGCAAATTATTCTGAGGTAGTTCCCTTACTTGTAAAATACAAACACTAACGATCTTAGCTCACAGGTTTTGCGAAGATTAAATTAGATAATATATCATGTGCCAATATCAGGGTCTAATACATAATAGGTCCTAAACTGTTAATTCCTGGAGGATGGATTTGAGGCGGCCAAGACTGGAGGAGAGAGACGGGTTTAAGTAAGCGAGGAGGAAGCCCACTGACGGCGGCGCAGGGAGCGAAGGGCGAGCAGCTGAGATGGGTTACATTTAGGAGCAGAGCAGAGGGAGAAGCTGGAGGGGGTCCCTGGGTTTCTGGTTTGGATGAGAAGGTAGATAAGAACCGGAGAGAGGACCAGAGTGAGTTCTGGGAAAAGGTGATGCAGGTGCTCATGGAGCGCTGTCTGCGTTGAGATGCCAAGGAGAGGCTCGGGTGAGGACGCCCGGTGTGGCTGGCAGCCTGGGTCTGGGGCTTAGAGGAGGGGGGTCTGCGCCGCTTCAAGGCTCTGCTGTCATCAGCACCAAGGTGATGGCTAGGTCAGAGCAATGGATGACATTCTGGGTGAAAAATAGCTCTACAAGATTGACTACTTGGGAGTTCACTTCTTCCACTGTTCTCGTCTCTTTTTTCTACCAGTCTGTTGTCAACTCAGGGGGTGATGTAATACTTGGGGACTCCACCAAAGTAGCATTTTAAATATTTCCAGGACTGTGAATCAATGGGTAATTGGGATGACCTTACCCTTGCAGGGAGAGGAAGAGGAGTTTACCCCTGCTCTCCTCACCTCCGGATGTGACAAATCACACGTGGTGTGAATCACCCTGGCTTCTGCAATAGTGTTGGTTTGGCCGCTGTCCGACGGTGAAGGTGGTGGAGGGAAGGGGGAGGTGCACACGCTGGCTTGTCATAACCAATATGGATCACCCTAGTCAGATGGTGCTAAAGCGCTAGTGTTCTCTATGCCTGTCGTAAGCTGGCTCAGGGAGTGATTCGATAGTGTTGCCCTGTGGTTTCCCACTCAGCAAGATTAAGAACCAGTAGCTGCTAATGATGGTGGCCCTGTAAGGTAGCTGTTGGAGGGGTCACCTCTCTTGAGAACGCAGTCTGGAGTGGAGGTGCATCAGTGGTGATCAAAAGCTCCCTAGTTGTCAACAGTGATGAAAACAGAAGAGGCTCTCCTCCAAGTGCGTCCCTGACACTACCGGGGTCCTTAAACGAGGACCCCGTTGAAGGCAACGGGCCTGGAAGCCTGCAGAGTTTTCTACCCATTAGGACTCAGAGAATTCAGACCTCTTCTCCTGATAAATAGGCATCAGGCTTCCCCAACTGCTGCTTCTGCGCCATCGGAAGCATAAAGGGCTCTAAAATAAATGTTCCCCTCCTTCCTTCGCTGCCCAGGACCTCCCACAAGGTTACGGTTGTGGGTTGGATTTCACCTGAAGTGCGCCCGTCTGGCTGGATGTGGGCTGACTCTGCCCAGCACAGCAGCTCTCCCTGGAGCCTGTGCAGAACGAGGGAATTTGGCAATGCCTAGGAATTTATCACACTCTCCTGCGCAGGGGCAAAGCTGCAGCGGCCCGCACAAAGGGGAAGTTCCGGATTTGTCAGTTTCCTCCGAAAAGCGGGGGCCTCTTGGTGGTTCCCGCTCCCATTGCTAGGTCGCCGTTACCCTCTGACTTCACCGCTCCCCATTCGGTGGCTCCCTGCCAGTGCCTTTCCAACAGCGATCCTGTCTCCTTCGTGTTAGTCTGCGGGGGCTGGGTCAGCCTTCAGAGGAGAAAGCAGCCTCACACCCCCACCCCACGGGGGTGCTGTGGGTGGCTCAGGGAGGGGCATCTTTCTCTGGGAGTCAGACCCGGGGGCCCCGAGCTGTCAGCGATAGAAACTGTTGGTTTGAGCCCAGTGCTGTGACCAGTAGCCATCGTCGGGGTGCAGAGGCTCCTTACAACTGGGCAAACGGCGGCTCGCAAGGTGCAGTTGCCAGAGGCCTGCTGCTCCCGCTCCCCGTGGGTCCGCCTGGCCGCCCCTGCCGCGGCCCCTCTGCGTTGCACCCTGTGCGGTTCCCGTGGGGTGGGCCAGACACTCCCGCCTCCCCCTCCCCGCGGGAAAAGAGCACTCTGGGTACGCGAAACGTTCTGGTTTCCAAGTCCTGTCAGGTAGATTGCTGCCGGCTGAGCGCTTGAAGAAAAGATGAAGTTGTGTACCACCTTTTTCTCAACACCTTCACATAGTGATGGTATGAATGAGCCTTTGGGCTACGGATTTGTCACTGTTTGAAGACACTTCTCAAGGGTCTCCTCCCCACCCCCTGCCCCTTCCAAGCTAGAAAATACAAAAGCCTGTGTTTGGAGGCAGACGTGGAGTTGTTCTTAATACACAACAGACTCCTTATTCCATTCCATAGCAGGACAGATCCTGTTGCTAGGAGCAACAGAAGTCCAGAACAAATATTAGGATTTATGATTTCTTAAGCGTTCACCAAATTTGTACATTTAAAAAAAATTGCATATAGTGAGGTAATTGTAGATTTACATTTAAATCACCAAACAACCTCAATGTTAGCATTGAAATGAAAAAATCTGCCTGGACTTTATCTGCTAGAAAGTTCCACATTGTTTTCTATAAAATGCTATAGACTGTGATAACCCAGCAAAATATTTCAGTAAGGATTGAGTGTGTGTAATGTGTTTTGGTCCATAATAGTGAAATATGAAAAATTATTTATATTCTCTGAGGATACACATTTCATTACTGTAAAAGTAAAATACTTTTTTTTTTTTTAACCTATAGATTCACTTTCTTACTTAGGGGCCTTTACTGTGAAACATACATGGAAAGCAAAGTAGGGAGATGAGATTTTTGAGGGCTCAGTTATCCAGACTGACAATATACACTGATCAAATTTGTCAGGAAAATGTAACAGTTAAAGAGGAAGGTATATCATTTTTAAGAGAGAAAATAGGATTAAATGCAGAGGTTATTGCCTTGTTCGAATTATTACTTCGTTTAGAAGCCGATCTTAAAAAATATTACACAACATATAGATGTATATTTTTTTACAAGATTAAGATCAAACTTCCTTTTAGCTTTTCACAATTTGTGTGTTTGAGTTTGTTCTAAAATAGCACTGATACTAACATCACGTCTGTTTTTAATTCTCAGAAGTGGTGTAAGCAAAAGCATTTTTGGATTCATGTTGAGCAAACTCCCTCATAAGCCAAAACTGCAAAATCAAAGTACTGTAAAAGAATAAACAATCCAAAAAACAGAGCACGAGGGAATGGCCGTAAGGTTCAAATGTAACGTTTAGCTGCTGGTGGGGTTTCGAGGCCAGCGGCACCGGGGGAGGGGACGGGGCGGGGAGAGCGGTGGGTTACCCCAGCCCCCGCTCCGTCTGCGCTGCCTTCTTTGGAGGGAGGTCGCTGTGCGCAGCCCTCAGGTAAGGGATGTGGGGGTGAGCTACATCTCCTTGGGGGGCAGTGATGTACATAAATTAATTGGGATTCTCTTATGTGAGGAATTTGTCTATCCATTTATTTATTCAGTGATTTATATCAGTGTCTCCTCATGGATATTTATTTTATACTTTGGTTCCTTCTGTTGGAAAATGGTGTTAGGAACCAAGGTCTGGATGCTGGTGTGCTTGTTGCTACCGAGCTGTGCTTCCTTCCAGCCCCTTGCCTGGCGGAGCATGGAATACAGGCATCTGCTCACGGGGGGATGCACGCACACTTATGAACGTGTTACGCTGACCGTGAGGACACACGGATGTATCTGGCTCTCAGCCACCAGCATCACTTGAATCATTTTAGCTGCCCTTTCTTGCTGGTCTGTAACCCCTAACAGTGAGAAACCTGGTTCCCCCCATTTCCTTGGGTGAGTTTTTCAGTATGGATTAATCTCTCATTACTTCATTTCCTTTTTGAAATTTCAAAGTACACTAAATATCTAGTCAAAAAAAACCAAGTCAAACTATTTAAAATGTTAATTAGGCTTTTTTGAATTCTCTTTGGTTCTTCCCTAGCCCCATACCCCTCCAAGGGGGCCAGACTCCCGGTGCCACCCTTAAAACCATTAGCACGGTAGTTACCATGGCAGCAGACAGCCAGGGTCGCTGACCCAGGACGCCAGGCTGCGCTGGGCCATGCAGGTTACCCTCAGGAAGTCCTGAGGTGCGCCCCACCGCGCACACGCGGCAGGTGTATATTCGTCTCAGACATCGACACCCCCATTCCTTGTTTCGAGTACACACGTTTTAGAATTGAGGATTACTGTAGCTTATTAATTAGTACTTTTCAGCGTGCAATTCTGTGGTTATTAGCATGAGCAAGAGGGAAAGAAGGTTAAGCGATGGGCCTGTTGCTTGTAGAATGTGTTCCCTAAATATTCATCGCGTCTGTCAGGATGGCTGATGTCCATCTCAGACTCAACATGTTCAACACTGCTCCTGCGCTTCCTTGATGAGTTCCCCCTCATAGCTGTCCCCGTCTTCCCTGGTGAGAAGTCATCATTCTAGAACATTCACCTCAGGGCCATCCTTGATTCTTCCTCTTTCTCTCCCACCACATAGCCATTCCGTCATAAAACCCTCTATATTCAAAATATATCCAGACACAGACAGCTTCTCGCCATCTGTGTCTGTTCTTTTGCTGCCTGCGGTGCCGAGCCTGCCCCTAACTCAGGCCCCTGCACCTGCCTGGGCCCCAGCGTGACCTGGAAAAATGCCGGGTCCGGCCACTTTGCTGCTCAAAAGCCCACAGTGGTTCTCCATTTCCTCAGAGCATTGACCAGCTTTTGAGTGTCCTCTATGGTCATGTCTTCTCTGATCACATGTCTGGCCCTCTCCCCGGCCAGCCCTTCTGTGCATGTGTCCTGGCCACCTTGCCGCTCCTGGCACTGAAGGCCTGGTCCTGATCCGGGGCGTTGGCGCTGGCTGTCCCTTCTCTGCTTCAGGGCTCTGCTCTTCTGGCTGGATGGTTAACGCCTCCACCTCCAAGTGTTTGCTCAAATGTCGCTTCTTCAGCGCAGCCTCCTGTGACCGAGCAATTGAGTATTGCAACCTCCGACCCTGCCCCAACCCTCTCACGCTGTCACCGTGAGCCCTTCCACGGGGCTGCTTCTGTTTCAGTTACGCCCCGGGCGCGGCGGACCTGCTAGAAGGGGAGTGGCGCAAAGACGCGCCCTCCTTCAGTTTTGTCCGTGGACCAGTCCCAGCACCTGGACGACAAAAGCACAGGCTCAATGAATACATGTATTATTTGAACCGTGTGCTTTCTACATCCTAAAATGATTTTTCAATTAAAATAAACCAAAATAAGGGAAAATTTAATTTGATGAAAAAGTGTGAGATAGATACACCAGCAAAGGATGTCTGCAATCTGAAATAACTTAGTAAGGGCATCCGGTTTTAGATTCCTTGTTTGTTGATGAGTATTCAATAACGATGTTGCTGGATTGTTGTGGTATTTATAGAAATTGATGTGCAGGAAGGCAATCAGCAACTATGAATTAAGAGATTTCTCAGCTCACGGCCTACAGAAAATAAGGCCTGAAGCAAGGTGCGCTTTGTCACGGGCCCTTCGAAGTTACTTACCCACTTCTGCAGCAACACCCTTCCTCCAAAGATCCCCTTTTCTCTTAAGTTCGAAATGATGAGCAGTTAAACATTGGGGATAGGAAAAAAGCTCTGTAAACATGTTTATAAAGGCTAATAGAACTTACGTTGCATCAATTTTTAACAGAAACATTGAGGTCACAGCCACAGAACATAATCTGTAAACTGAGAAGGGAGAGGATTGAACTTGTGCTTACATGGCGCTGGTAAACGCCCGCTCTTCTTGACAGCCGAGTTTTGCCCTACGACCCATTTGAAAAACTATTGCAGTTTGTTTTCAAGTGCATAGCAGTTGTTTAGTAAACTTATGTGTCTGGACGTCCAGCACGGAGAAGCTTGCCTTCCGTCCGCGCTGTTTTGTAAGGGTACAAGGAACCTCTGTAAAAACAGTTTGCAGGTTCCATGATGTAGTGTCCACTTAATCCCTGGTACTGTGTCTTTTCTCTGAAATCGTAGGAACTGGCAGAGAAGGCAAATGTTACTGGCATGGGACACATCCCCATAGGCCAAACACTGTGAAGAGTGCCAGCTGGCAAGGTGGGGGCACCCTGCAAGTTGACTGAACACCAAAAATGAGCATATCGGCGTCCGGAGGCCTGAGGGAGGCGGGCTGGGCCTGCCCCTAGGGAGCTCGCCGGTGCCGTTCAGTGCCACCTTCCCTGTCACCTTTACGATCGTGACGGCCTTCCCTTTCACTCTTACTTCCTCCCACTGCCACTCCTGGTCTCAAAGCTAGAAGACGGGAAGAGGGAGATTTTTATCAGTGGCACTGAAAAATGGCAAAGGACCACAGGTTAACCTCAGTCCACACAAGATGTACAGTACTTTTCTCCAAAGGTAGGGTGAAAGTATGGCATGTCGACATTACTCCTGTGTCCCCGGAGCCCACATCTGCGTCCACATCTGGGTCTTTCCAGGCACCACAAGACAGTCCTGGGCCTCGCAGAGCTGGTCCTTCTCTGCAAGGCGACCTGGGTTTCATTTTCATCAGAAAGACTTAAATTGCTTCATTAATTTGTTGCAAAAAAAAATGGGCAAGTTAGATGAGTTTGTATTTCAATTTTTTAAAGTTTAAGTAACAACGATCAACACTTACAGCCAAGAAAACTTGACGTAAAATTCTTGGCCCTGGAAGCCAACTGCGTGCCCTGCTCCCTCACCCCCACGTCAGCCGCCGGAGCAGCGTTCGTTCTGGTCTCAGAACCTTTTCATTTCCGCATTACACCAGCTCTTTTCATTGTCTTGCTTATTGAATTATGTTTCTTTTTTCTTTTTTTTTTTTTTGACAGTTTGTGCCATTGCCTAGTTTATCTTGGAACCAAAGAATCTGGAAAGAGATTCAAGCCTTTTGAATGTGGGTTTTCCCAATCCTGAAGTCCTAGACCTGAGCATATAGACATAGGCAGCAATCTGGTGTGCACATCAATGCAAAACCATGGGTGTGTGTACATGTACTTATATGTGGAGACATAAATATGTGTAAAAATATATGGCCTTCTATGTGAGTTTATCCATTTATCTATAATTACCATATAAAAAGTAAGTGATTTTTTCCTTACTTCCCTCACAGCGACCAAATCAGTTGTGGATCCCCTCCCTCCTAGAGGTCAACACCTATCACCAGTGCTATTCTGTGGAGCTGATTTTTGAACATTTACCTGAAATAACATGGAAGCCCGGTAGCCTTGCTTGCTTGGAACAGTGCCTGCAGATCGCCCTGTTGGCCGAGCTCGCGGGTCTCTGTGCTTGACGGGTGGATGGCAAAGGGCAGAGTGGCTGCCTCCCCCGCCGGACACTGCCAGCGGCCGGGCGTCCCACACTGTCTCCCAGTGTTTTGAGAATGCTCATCTTATGTAATGTTGCAATACACTTTGGGGACATTACATATATTCGCTATTTTCTGTACAATAAGCTATTCATTTCTGTCTTAGAGACAATATTAGCTACTAGAAAAAATATTAAAATTTGAGGAATTAATTCTGTTTCTGTGAGTAAAGTACTAACAAAAGCCTGCTCCTTGTCATGAGAAAGTTACGTGTCCAGCCCCATTTCATGGGGACCCTGGTAAAGTCAACGTGACTTGATCGGTGACCTTCCCCTAGAGGGGGACAAGTGTGGCTGTAAATGCCCAGTGGGAGCTGTGCCTCTGGGGTTCCCCAGGTGTGGAGCGGTTCTTGGTCCTGGCCACACCCCTCTTTGCGGGGACCTCTGAAACTATGTTCATGGGATATTTCAAGTCAGAGCTAGTATGCTTCCTACACCATCTGTGTGTCTTGCCACCCAACACCTGATCTGTCCTGGCAGGGGCTGAGGAAATGGCCTTTGGCCTTGTCCCCCGAAGAGGTGAGCCGTCCCGCCTCTGTCTGTGCAGCCGGACTGTGTTGGAGTCTGGCTGTCAAGTCTTGCTAAGTCTGGCTGTCCTGCCGCACCCAGCGGCACTGCTGTGGTTGCGCAGAATGGGCAGGGAATGGTCATGGGCAGTTAATGTGAAAAGTACAATAATACCGGCAATGATAACAACTACCTCTTCCTTTATTTTTCAGAAATGTGTTACGGACGAGTGTTTCTTTTTTGAACGGTTGGAATCCAATAACTACAACACTTACCGGTCAAGGAAATACTCCAGCTGGTACGTGGCCCTGAAGCGGACTGGGCAGTACAAACTGGGACCCAAAACAGGACCTGGCCAGAAAGCCATACTTTTCCTACCGATGTCTGCTAAGAGCTGATCTCGATGCCCCTGTCTGATCTCACTGCGCGCAAAAGAAGAGGTGTATCGTTACTGAGGACTTTGTAAAAGAGGACTTTGTTACTGAGAAGGAAAGGAGATGTATACAGCTCTCTGCTCAGTTTGGATAACTGGTCAGGTAACCCTTTATCTAATAGTCACATATTTAACCATTGCCTTACTAAAGAAAAACAAGAATTCCTGGAAAATGTATAAATTTCCACCTTTTATATAGCATTTGCCTTTATCCAGTGAAGCTTACTTAGAGCTACAATCTTTTCCATACATTTGCTTCATTTGAAAAGAGGCCTTTAAAATGTGCGCTCTTACAAATTTTCTTCATGGAAATCATCCGCATGAGAATATAAAAGCCAGATATTGAGTCCACCCCGAATGTCCGCTCCTCCTGCGACATGGCCCCCGTTAACGTCCGTGCACAATGTCCTTAACATCCTTGCCCGTGCCCAGGTGCGTTCACTCCACCCCTGGCGTGGCTTTGTAACTGTCCGGCAGTTCCCGGTGGTAGAGCTTGTAGAACAAGCCCGTGTGCACGGCCGGGAGCTCATCCGCCGCTAGGTCGACCTTGTCGAAGCCCTCCCTGTGCCCGTAGAGCAGCAGCCGCGCGGCCCTGCGGGTGATGGGCGTGGTGTCGGCGGCCGCGGCCAAGTCGGCCAGGTCCATCCATGCGCCCCGCAGGCACTCGTGCGGGCACAGCTGGATGGCGAAGGAGCGCGGCTGCAGGCGGCAGATGAGGTACATGTCCGACTTCCCGAAGGCCCCGGGGTGGCTGTGCTGCTGCCGAAGGCTCAGGAGGGACCTGAACTCGGATCGCACGCCCGTCTCTTCAAAAACTTCTCGCACGGCCGTGTCTCCTACATGAAAGGAAGATGTATGCATCAGTAAGGGTCACATTTTTTTAGAAAATAATCCTCAAGGATTTTCAGTTAACAGCGGCGTTATCAAAGGTTCAAGAGTAAGATGTCACGGAACTGAAGTTTTTGACAAACACTCTCTGCCTTCTGGGCGTCCTGAACCAAAGTCCTCTCTGACCACTGCACACTAAGAAGCTTTTGAAATAGTGAATATTTCTTTGGCTGCTACAGGGGGCTTACCTGCCTGTGTGGTTTTGGGGGCCACATATTTTTAACCTCTTCCTGCTCTATTTCCCAAAAGGTGAAAACGTAGGCTGCAAAGCTGCGGTTACTGTTTCTACTCGTCTTCATTCTCCTCTGTTCCTGAACATTCACCAGCACTGCTCACGTTTGTGTGTGTGGGAATTGAGAAAAAGCAATCCACTCTTCCTCACAGAAGGGCGCGGTGGCCGCGGGTAGGGACCTCTGAGGTGGCTCGCGAGCTCCTGGGCCCTGGGCTCTAAAGCACAGAGAGGATGCCTTTGCGACCTTTTTGTTACACTTGCCTAGTTATCGGGCCCGTGGAAGCCCACTCTGGGAATGTGCGGCATGTTCCTTGTTTCCTGAGGTTCCAAAGAACTTAGATTCATTCCTCCAACACCCAAATGTCACTTCATCAGAGGTTTTCCAAAAATTCGCAGCATGCAGAATTTTGCAATACAACAGGGTTTTCACATTTTCTAAGGGTGATTTTTTGATAATACACAAATTTCTGGGACAGGATTTTTATTGCTATTCACATAATCTGGTGGCTGCTTTTTCCGACTCTCCAGATGCAGCCCCCGCGTGGGCTTTCTCTAATCCTGTGCAGCTGTCCGTTTTCTCCCCAAGTGCCGGCACGATGCCCTCAAAACAGCTGCCTTCCTCACTCGTCTGCCAGGAGCATCCTAGTTACACAGATTTTTGTTCAATGCCCTTCAGTGCCTGATGTTTCTTGTTTGTCAAATAGTAAATTCTATTTGCCTTCTCGGTAGTGGTCTTACTGGGGAAGAACAGGCAAGGAAGAGGAAGGTGAGGAGACTGTCTCCCTTCCCCGTGCCCTGTCTGGCACGTTGTACAGGTCCCTGGACGCGCCCTGGCCTCCCCACCGCACCCCTACGCTGGGTAGCAGCTCTGGCAGCGTGCAGAAGGTGCCCTGAAGTGCAGCGCGTCCGTCTGCCGTTTTTGATTTACCGGCCGACTTCCCTTATAATTGAGATTTCCCACAGATGACGCAGGGATAGCAATTATATTTTTTTTAAACCAAGAATATGGAAGAAGAGTTTATGTTAAAAAAGGACAACTTTCCTTAATAAGAAAAATAACTTTCAGTCTGACATAGAATGCATATCTGTTATTAAACCTTTTGTAGATTGTGGCACTGGTCTTAGATTTTGTCATTTGCTCATCTCGCTTTATTATTTCAGTATTAATTCTTTCAGCACTTTGAAAAGCGAACATGTGGGTCCTGTGAGTTCTCAGTGCCACTCCTCAGTGGGGCCTTTGTCCCCTGTCTAGCCTGTCCCTGGGCCCCAGGGCGCAGCATGTGGCTGGTCAGGGACTCCACCCTGCTCAGTGGTCCCCAGAGCAGTGGGCCTGGCCCGCGCTGCCCAGCGTCCTGTCTGTCTCCCTCGCGCCAGCAGAGCAGTGGTGAGACTGAGAAGCGATAGGAAGCCAGTGCTTCCGTGTCTGGGGACGAGAGATCCCTTCCACCTCAAGATGGAAGTGTGACCCTGAATTTGAATTATCTGGATAAAGTGTGTTCCCCGGGCGGGCCTTTGTTATTCTAATGTTCTGTAAGCTAAACTGAAATAACATTTACTGTGTTACAGAGGTTTGAAGGTCGTAGGAAACACCGAGAGGTTTATGTTTTTATTTTTGCTGATTGAGGAAGATGTTAAAATACATCACAGCATTTTTGTTGAGTTACAAGACAGTAATGAAATGGAATTTATATTTTTTATTACTAGTTTGTGATACTTAATGATAGGATAGGTTGAAATCAAATAAAATAATAAGAAAAACTGTGCAGAAGGTGGGCTTTCCTGGTGTCTCCCTCAGACTTGGGTGCCCTGATGAACCCGGACCAGTGGCTGGTCCCGGGGCCAGGCAGGTGTTTGCCCGGCAGGGGTCCTGGGGTTTTCTGGGAAGGCAGCCCCCGCATTCTCACCCATGCCCGTATCCTTGTGCTCCGAGGCGGTATAGAAAGGGTTGCACCGCCCTTTGCATGTGCTCCTCTCCATTCTGTTTAGACACAATGGGACAGACGGCAGCGCTTCATTGACGTAGCGTGATCAAAGCGTGGGGGTCCACACAGGCATGCTTCCCAGTCAACCCGTTTCCTACTTCCGAGCCTGTGTGAAGGCTTGCACATAGGTAGTGGCAGGATTCCTGAAGCTTGGTATGTTCCGAAGTACAGGCTTAAAGTGAGTACTTCTTGGGCGATGTGGCTTCCTCATCAAGAGTGTCTGTTAGTGTGCTATGTTACAGAGCAGATTGGCCCTCGGATAGACTTGTCCTCCAGGCCTCTGCTCTCAGCTACCGTTTCCAGCTGCTTTCGGGGATTTAGTACCATTCGAAGGCAAAGCTTTCATTGATACTTCGTTGAAGCAGCAGGGCGAGCACCACCTGCTGCTGCTTCCTAATTCCATGTGGCTGAGGCAGAGACGTGGTCCCTGGGTAGGTGGGTTGCTGTGACCATCGCAGATGCTTCAAAAAAGTAGTGAATTCTTAACTAGTCAGACTGGAATGGTTCTGTTTGGCTTGGAGATGGGCTTTCAAGAAGAGGAAGCTGCATATACCCCCCCGCCCCCCGTAGACTGACAGCTTCCTGCTGAGCGTGGAGCGGGTGGGGGGTGACCGGAAGCTTACCCAGTCCACACGCTCTCAAGCATCACGCTCGGAGAGTGGAAGGTAATCAGGTGTCCTCGAGACAGTGGCTTTCCCTTCCAGCACTCCCCCCACAACCATGTCCTCTTCTGTTTGTACAGAAGACCCAGCAGAATCTGGGTCAGTTAAGTATCTAAAACCCAGAACTGGCTACGGATCTATCTGAATGTAGTGAATTTACTTAGTGGATGTTAGGAGTTGGCTATATATTGTGTATAGGGCATTTTAATCTGTGTTATATTTTTTAAAAAGTCGTTTCATTTTTAAATATCTAAAGATAATTTAGGAAACTGTTCACATAAATGTTGGCTGAATAAAACAGGGGCATGCGTTTTGAGGAAGAAGTCAGGAGAAATACTACTGGTAGCAAATGAGTCATCTGTGATTTATTTGGAGAGGGGCTGTATTTGACCCAGTGGTGTATGGAATAGGTAGGAAAACTCAGATTCTATTCTTTCATCTATTTCCTATAAAATCAGTGACAATGAGAATTCTTAGCTCATTTGACCTTTCCCTGTCTCTCGTGTTCATCTCAGTACGTAGTTTTGAGGAGTTATGGCTCTTATTTGAGATCTCCTATGAGATGTTTCACTGTTTTGGTTTCCTGATTATTCAAAATAAATAGTAGATAAAATTTTCAAAAAGAGAACAATTACATCACCACTGCTCCATAATTGACTTTATAAATATTACTTGTTTCCAAGTTCACTTAAAAATTACTATTCATCCTTGTGCAATGAAATGGTCAAGAAATTGTGTTTTCTTAGTGTAATTCCAACAATTTTAGTCACAGCCAAAATGGCCGTCAGTGCTAACCTTGGCTGATGCACGCCCGAAGCTGCTCACTTCCACACAGCGCTCCCAGGCCGTCTGAAGGGCAGGGCAGGTGTGGGTGCCCGGGGCACTTCTTTATAGGAATGGAATGAGTTCCCATGTTACCAGTTTTGCTGCTAATTTCCTATCAGCCCTGAAGTAACCTCTCTCTGAACCAGTTACAAAATTTAAAATCTTAACTATAGAGCAAGAAAGTAAGCACATTGAAATTTCCTCCACATTTTCAGACCATTCAACAACATGTAAGATACACACCAATATCTTCTCCGGGCTCCGACAGGCCTCCTGGGAACTTCCACATGTTTTTCAACTGCAGCATAAAGTCAGAAAATAAAGTCAACCCAGCTTGTATTCTCAGACACACATACCTGAAGATCCACAATATTCACCCATATTTAAGGTTTATTTTTTCGTAATTGTATGTACATTTTTGCTGGTTTCCTTCCTCATTCCTCTCTTCCTTCTTTTTGGGGGAAACTGGTAACTTATGAATTCTTTTCCTACGGTTTTCTTTGGGAAATAGAAATGGTCTTGTTTGGTTAATGTGATAAATTCTGTATGAATGAAACAGTGAAGGGAAACATCTACTGAATTTGTGTAATTTTAAAAATTTTGCTGCTAGTTACCTATTAACAAATAGAAGAATCTTACAGATGCTGCTATAAATAAGTAGAAAATACAGTATAAATTTAATCACTAAAGTATACTATTTTAATTTCACATTTATTTTCTGTATTGTGTGTCTAATCAGATATATTATTAATCCTAAGGTTTCTCTTGCTCTGTGTGTTAATGATTTCATGGATAGTATGAATAAAACTAATTAGTTTAAGTTTATGAGGGTTTTTTGTGCTCCTTTTTGGGGGGATGGGGAATGGGCAGTGGGAAGATCTGAACTTAGAAGAGGGATACACATGGGAAAGATTTATTATGTGGCTCAGTGGGTTGAGCACTGGACTGTGAACCAGAAGGTCGCTGGTTCAATTCCTGGTCTGGGCATGTGCCTGGGTAGTGGGGCCAGGTCCCCGGTTGAGGGGCACATAGGAAGCAACCAATCGATGTTTCTCTTCCTCCCTTCCCATCTCTCTAAAAATAAACAAAATCTTTAAAAGAATAAGGAATAATCCTGAAATGGCCTGGGGCAATATTCTTGTGGCTGACCTGATGATTTTTTCCCAGTAGAGGTCTGTTACACCCCCTCCCCATCCCCATGATGGAAGCTGAACAAGGAGAAATGAGGGCAGACTCCTACAGGCACTGCAGCGTGGAGCCAGGACACCACACTCTTCCTCCATCACACACCTCCAGGGACTTCGGCCGGCGTGCTTTGTGTCCCCCCGTTTCCCGGACAGGGGCTTCTTAAAGAGCGTGTCATTTCCCAGCTGGGCCAGGCTGGAGCCCGGTAGCACGGTTCCCCGCGTTGCCTCAGACGGCCAGTCCTGTGGGCACTGGATTCAGGCTTCCCAGCCTTCTGTGTTGGGCTCAGGCTCTAGGTTCATTTATAATGCAGGGTATATTTTATTTTATGCGGGTAGGGACCTCTTAGTGTGTCTACACTCTGCCACTGTCTCTGGGAAGTCCGTTTGGAAGTGGTTCCACAGGCTGCGCTTCTGTAGACACGATGTGGTCTTTCATCCAGTAGGATGTTGGACTTCACCACCATAAATTTCATTTCTAACCAAAGATTCAAAGGCTTCCCAAAACAACAAAAGTCAACTTTTAAAATCTTTTCCTAGACTTGATGGCAAATAATTGGAGATTAATTGTTGATTAAATTTGGAGATATGAACATATTAGAAGGGGTAACATGCTAAAATCAGGGGTATCCAACATTTTGGCGTCTCTGTGCTACAATGAAAGACGAATTGTCTTGGACATGTTAAATACATTGTGAAATGTAATCACAAAAACATTTTGTAATGTCTTAAGTAAATTTACGACTTTGTGTTGGGCCACATTCGCAGCCATCCTGGGCTGCATGTGGCTCGTGGGCCGCAGGCTGGACACCCCTGTTAGATATAAGGACTGAAAACAGATCACATAAATTTGATTTTCATTACTTCATAAAACTTAGCTATGGAAAAATTCAGTTTGCTTTTATGCTGGTGAGTAGTTTGTGATATCTTCCGGTACCAGTTAGCTTTAAAGAGCTTGTTTGAAAAAGCTTCCTCCTCCCCGCTAAAAGCTTCAGCCTGCAGTTAGTGTAAATGACAGAAGGGCCAAGGTAGGCGGTTTGAAAACCTGGTTAATGTAGATCTGATCAATGGAGAGATGAGTGTATCTTCTTTTTTAATATTAAAGAATACTCCCCATTAGCTGGGTTTACCAACATCATAATAAATGCCAGCTAATGTATATTGATTGTCCATTAGATTTGAGATGCTGCTAAATGTTTCTGTAAGAATTACTCACATTTAGCCCTGGCTGAGTAGCTCAGCTGGTCTGAGCATCATCCCGATATGCCAAGGTTGAGGGTTCAATCTCCGGTCAGGACCCATATAAGCAGCAAGATAAATGTATAAATAACTGGGATGACAAATTGATCCCCCCTTCTCTCTAAAGTCAATAAATAAAAAAAAATTTTTTTTTTTTAAAGAACTACACACATTTATGACAGTAACCCATTTTGGAATTGATGACCGAGAGCATAAACAGATTTGATAACTTGCCTGAGGTGACCCAGCTAGGGTGCAGTAAAATCCAGGCTGTCTGATTCTACCCATCTTTTAAGCAATTTAAAAAGTTGACTGGCTGTTTTCTCATTAATCTTTAAGTACCATTTGCTGCTTTTTTCTTAACCTTTTGCTCTTTCCTTCAGACCTCATTGGAACATTCCATGTAACCAGACCAACATTTTTGCCGGAGACTTCCGCCCCTCCAGGGCTTGTGAATTTGAACCGAACTCTAGTTCGGTATCAAACGTGTTTGTACCTGCCTGTTGCTTGTGAGTTCTCTATCCAGAACATTCTGATTGGCATGAGATTTAATACTATGCTAGTGACTTATTACTATCATTCCAGTATATTGTTTCATGACGGAAAAATTACTGAGGAAGGGGAGAGGATGGGTTTCGATTAACACCTATTTGAGTCTGTTTTGTTTTCATCTTCATCCGCAGTTCCCACATTTAAAAAAAGACAAAACATCTTTATGCTGTAAGTGTAAAATTCCATGATCCTTTTACCCCTAATCTCACAAAAGGAACTTTCCACTCACTTTAAAAGAAATATTCTCCTCAGAGTGCTTGTGCTTGGTGGTGCCACGCAGCTTTCACTCCCGTGGCGCTCCCGGCTCAGAGCTGCTGAGCCCAGTCCCTTAGGCGTGGCTGATTCTTGCACACTATGAGAGGTCACGTACCCTTTTAACTTAGAAAGATGTGTGATATTTCGGAACAGTGAATGCGATGACAAGTTTTCCTATACATTGGCCAATGATAAATCTGATGTCCTTGGGCATGTGCATACGTGTGCACCGAAGGATGGAAAGGAGAGGGCAGTGGACGACGTAACGTGGTCCCCTCCATCACTGCGAATGCCCCCTTCCTCGGGGGTAGGGATTTCTAGCCCAAGAAATAAGCATTTTGAGTATCAACAAGGGGTATTACTTCTAATGCATTTTTCAGGGACACTAACAGAGTGTGAGATATTTTCTCTTTTAAAGCAATTTTAATTTTATAGCACTGTTTCTTTTAAAGCTTGTCCTGAAGATCAACTCCAGTTCATATTACGAGTTTCTAGAATGGGTTGAATAGGAATGCTTTATTCTCTGATCCTTTTTCTCATTATTTTTCCAAACTCACAGACATCTCCTGTTTCCCTAAGCAGACGATCAGCCTCAGGAGCTTCCCTGGGCAGGGCTGCCGAAATCCGAGGGAGAACTTTGCGTAAACAGAACCCCTAGTGACTACTCAGTTCTTTCGGCCCTGTCTCCAGGACCAGGAGCAAGGGTGTGGCCCCGCTGGCCTCTTCCTGTAGGTCCTTGCGTATTATTTGACCTTTATGTTCTTCCTTTACTCCAACTTGTTCAGATGACAGAAAGTTGATGATCTTTTATTTCCAATGTTCCACTTTTCATGCTGCTACTCTCACTTTTCAGAATTCAGAGCCACCGTATTTAGATGATACATTAGCTACAATATTATTATTGCTACCAGTGAGATAGAAGCCGCCATGGAGACCTTTTAATAAGTTCATTCATTCAACAAAAATTTACTGAATGTGAAGTGCAGGGCATACAGAAACTAATGCGAGATATAGCAAGCCCATTCTCTTCCTCCCTGTACCACTGTGTTTTTCTTAATAACACCACCACCTGATGTATCATTTATTCATTTGTTGATTATTCATGTCTTACCCATTTGACTGTAAGCTGCGGGCACAGGACCTTCACTTTGCTCACTGATGCGTGCCTAGCGTTCAGAACACAGCTGATGAGGCAGGGAGTACGGGCACTCAGAAACGCCTGGAGAGGGAGTGAACAGGCCCTGTCCTGCGCTTGGCTTTTTAGTGTCCAGTTTACAGGATCAAGCCACTGTTAGATCTTGTATTTCTCAAAATCACGGGGTGGGGTGAAGGATGGGAATACGTGGGTAGGAAAGGAAAAAGGACATGCGCATGTATCATTTGAGCTGTGGGTGTGAGTGTGTGCACGCGCTTGTGGAGAGGGTTCAAGCTCCCTCTGCCACACACACTTGCCTGGGCCAAGGGAGGCACTAGAGGAGGAGGACTGGCTCAAGTGTCTGGGAATAGTGCTGATTAGCTGTTCATGGTTAATAGCAGCCATGTGTGCCTAACTCCCACCTGGCACCAAAATAGTTACAGAGGTTAAATATGGTTTAGTGTCACATTTTGTATTTTTTATTACAACACTCAATTATACATGAATACTAAGCTTTCGTATTTTGTTGTTCTCAGGTGGATGTCTGCTTGTAACTTTAAAAAAAAAAAAGAGCAAAACCCTAAGTAGGAGCATTATTTATAATTCCAGGGGTGTCCAATTTTTTGGTGCCTCTGGGCCACACATTAAATACATAAACACTAGTGAGAAATGATGAGCAAAAAAAGGTTTTAAGTGAATCTATGATTTTGTGTTGGGCTGCATTCATAGCCATCCTGGGCCGCATGCAGGATGACCTTGACCTCCCAGCAGCCACCGCTGTGAGAAGTACTGTTTGCTGTCTAAGCCGCCCAGCCTGTGGTGTTCCTGTTACAGCAGCCTGATTGGGCTAGCACCCCATGTCAGCTCTCTGAGCTCCATGCCCTTACATAGGCAACTCGAATGTTCGCAGTCTGTTTTCCTACCCTCCTTTTTGTCCTAATAAGCTCCTACTTATTCTTCAAGACCCAATTTAAATGTCACCTCATCTGAGAATTCTTGAGGGGCTTTTTCAAAGCAGGCAGTTACCATGTGTTGTATGACTGCTTTCCCAAGCAGAGGGCGAGGTGCAGGACATGAGGGATATTGTCTCTAATCATTGTATTCTCAGCCCCTGGCTCCAGGTAGGAGCTTAAAGAAAGTCTGATGAATGGGACGGTATCTTGATGGCCTGTTAGAAATAGCGGTCTTCCCGATCAAACGCAGCCGTTTCTAATTTCCTGTGGCCATAAGATAATACTGAGCGATGGTGAGAGGACTCTGACATTTCAAGGCCTGTATAGGCACTTTTTAGATTAAATAAATAGTCAAATGATCCATAACTGCTTAGAGATAACTCTTCACAATAACTTTCTGTAATTCCTTGAGCATATAAAAATTTCTATGTTTTATTTTTCTCTAGAGAGAACATTTAGAAAGCAATTTATAAATAGAAGCAACTTACTTTATTTCGATCTTGGACAACTAATATTTTTCCAGTATTTTCATCAAATACAGCTCCTGTTGGAGGGAAAAATAAAAGATACCGAGAAATGTTAATTTTGTTCATCTTAGATTCCTCCTACACTCTTGTATGTGGTCATTAAAACCCTACCCATCCTGGAAGATCTAGTTCAACACCAGCTCATCCATGAAGATGTACACTCTTTCCAGCAAGAAGGTGGTTGCTTGATTATCCAGGTTCTTTTAACCAATGAAGGTTCTAAGACATGCCGCCCTGTAGGACAACCTCCTGCAAAGCTTCTCTCAATTGTTTATTCTTGAGGATGACAGTTCAATATCTCATCTTTCGATCCTCTGATAGCACTTACTTTCGTGTCAGGACCATTTCAACTGCTTCAAAATACTGAATTAATGCGCTGACTTTTCCATTCTCATTTTTATTCCTCAGATCACCAGGGGAGAACAGGGGTTGTGCTCCTGGTGAGCGGACCTCACACATGTCCACACTCAGCATAAGACCTCCTTGAAGCCCCCTCGGTTTGCTCACCTCTTTGTACCCACCTTGATAACATAGCAGTATGCTGCTTTGGAACACGTGTTTATTTTATATATGTTTTAAGTTCTAGTCCACTCCGTTTATTTGTTCATTCATCATATACACTGCCCAGTACACCAAGTATTTGGCTAGACGTTAGGAGTCAAAAACAATTTTTAAAATATTTCTCCTTGGGCAATCCTAGGTCCTTTATGATACGGTAATGATGGGTGTTATGTTACTTTAAATGCTATAATTTAAAAATATTTGTGTTTATATAATGTGGGAAGATAGTGTTAAAAAGGTAGTTTCTACATATCCATTCTTTCCATATTAATTCAGTGTCTATATATAACATGTATAGGTTCTATATATAGTATATGAATTGAGCTGCTATTTATGTCAGACACTTTTCTGGGTGACAGCGATATGGTGGTAAACAATACAAAACTCCCTATGTTCATGGGATTCACAGTTGTGTGTGTGTGTGTGTGTGTATGTGTGTGTGTGTGTCTAAGAGGCTATAGCAAACAAAAATATTATGTAGAATGTGAGAAGGTGGTGAATGCTACTGGGCAGTAAAATATAGAAGGGGATAGGTATGTGTAACACAAGGAAGAATAGCTTTGAAATGAAAACACACTGGTATTTCTAAGCAAGAAGGAAAACCACTAAGTGAGATATAATTAACACTAATGTTGACTTCTATTAGGAAACATAAACTATAATTTAATTGGATTTTACAAAGGACACAATGCCAAAGAAATGTCAAGGAAACCTACTCTTAAATTTTAATAATTTGTCATTACTCAAATTGAACTTTTCCCTAATGAGTTCCCTGTAACCAGGAGCAAAGTATCCCAAAGCCAAGCCCCGGAGCGCTAAAACACAATGTGAGCGACCCCTGCTGGTCACAACATAAAAGTTAAATCTAAAGAGATCGGAGGTGAGACACGTTATTAGTGTACCATCATCAGCGGGGAACGGCGCGCAGCGCTTTAGGCGCATCCCCCAGGTGGTCCTCACATCAGTCCCGCCAGCGGCATCGTTTTGACTGGCCACACGGCACGGCTCGGAGACTAGCATCCTGTGGGCATTGTTCACGGCATTGTGACGGCAGCCCGGGCCCCTCACCGAGACACAGCTGAGTTCTCACAGGGTGGCTGTCCCCACCTGCAGACCTATTCAACCATTCGCTCAGGAAATACGCACTGAGCACTGAGTTTATGTTAGACACTGTCTTTCACCTGAGGATGCAGCGGTGAACAGGAGATAAAGTACCTGTCTTCATGGAGTTTTATATTATTGTGAGGGAAATTAAGTATATGAAATTATATAACTTCAGATTGTGATAAGGGCTATGAAGGAAAACAGCAGGATGAAGGGACTGACAAGTGAGAAGACTGTGGTTTAGACAGAACGGCAGGAGCTTTGCTGAGGAGCCATCGGAGAGAAAGGCCAGCTCCAAAGAGTGAAGTAAAGCAAGGCTCGGGCGGGGCAGGCAGGGAGAGGAGCCACAGGCCTACAGGCTCGGGGCCAGGCCCAGCAGGGAGGAAAGAGCTCTCCGCTACCCACACGGGTTCGGGGTCTGGGGCCTGTGAACTGAACTGACAGAAGACAGGCTACTGGAGGAAAAATACGCATCTTATTTGATATTACTATTTTTACGTGGCCTGGCATAGGGGTGGAAGCCTTCCTAGAAAGAAGGCCCTAGAAAAGCAGTTAGACCATTTTAACAAAGAGTGATAAATTGTAGAGAGGTGATAAGACAAAAGGTTGACTAGGGGAGGTAAATTGTGGGAAAGTGGCTAGGAAGTGAACGGGGAAAGTAACAGAATACAAGAGTCGTGTTAGTAGGTTGTACAGACTCCTCTCCGTCAGCTCCTATCTCTGGTGATAAGAATGCTCTTCCTGGCACAAGAAGCTCATGCCCTATTTTTAGATAGAATGGAGGATGCAGAGAACCCTTCCTGCATTGCTATTTCTCCATCGTCTTCAGCTTAAAATAATCAATACGCCAAAATGGCAGATTCTGTGGCCGGAGCTCCAACACCGGTCACACCTACCTTCTGTTGCTTATAGCAACCAGTGTCAACTATTTCTCTTCACCTAGGAACTCTGTACCTTTCCAGAACGCATTCTTACATTATCTCATCCCCATCTGCAATAGCTACTTCAAATCCTACTTATTCAAGACTTTTGTCAAGTTCCAGAACTCGTTCCCTGAACTCCTATGGTCTGTCTTGACTCTAATACAGTATGTAGTCCTCAGTCAGAAACGAGTGCTTCCCAGGATGCTCGTTCCGCACACAGCACCCATTCCGTGTTACCGGAAACTCTCAGCCTGCACTGACGCATGGACAACCATCGGTTTGATTCTCTAACAACGTGTGAGGCTGTCATCAAATTTTTCATGGAGTTTTATGAAGTAGAGCCGAATGGACAGTTTCCAAGGGCCTGTGCTTGAGACCACGGACCGAGAAAACATTAGCCAGCCTGGAATAACTCCTTTAAATGATTTCAAAGATGCGAACTACCTTTAAAAACTCCTGTAAATTCTAGGAAGGCAAATAAAATTATTGTTGATTAAATTAGTAATTACTATATAACTGCTTCCATTTATTTTTAGGTCATAAGGATTTTATACTATTTTAGTTTTTCTGGAAATCTAGGAACGTTCTCAACCCGGTTCTCAAAGAAAACAGCAGCAGCAGAGAACTTATTAGAAATGCAAATTCTCAAGCCCCACCCCAGACCCCTGAGCAGAACTCAGGAGGGTTGGGCCCAGCCTCTGGTTAACAAGCCTTCTAGGTGATTTTGATGAACTCCACAATTTGAGAACCTCTCTTGACCTAAACCAAGTCTTCTCTCAAGACTGTAATCAGTAATTTCAAAATTCAATATATTTAAATTACATTACTTTAAACAACGGTTTGGCACAATAACTCAACGTCTTTAAGAAGTGATGTTCAGACCGTTAAAAAGTTGGTTTGCTTTATCTGAAATTCCACCCAGGTTATCTTTTATTCTACAAATTCACATAATTAAAACCAATGTTCTACCATAATGCATTTATTCCCTGGTGCCCATTCAGTGTTACTATTTGAGTAGTGAAGTTCAAATGTCTGTGTGAAGCAAGTCCAAGTACCGCCTTCGGCAAACGAAACGCTGAACCTGCTCGGTCTCGAGCTGCCCTCTGCTGATTCACGGGGCAGACTCCTCCATTCAGAGCACCAGCAATGGCCCCAAGGATAACCATTTCCTCCACTTGCCCCACGAAAATAAACCGTCGCTCAGCTGTGAGCACAAACTGGGTAAACTTCTCGTCTAAAAAGTTAACCCTGGTTCCCGTGGGTTCGAAACTAACCTGCAACTCCCACTTGGTGTGTCGCGTAGCCGGGGAGCCGGCTGGGCCCCTGTCCCAGCCACAAGGTCAGCGTGGCCGAGTCCGCCTCTGCGTGGTGGAAGCGGAAGCCCAGCGCGGCGGCCGGGGCGATGAGCGGGCTCTGCAGGATGGGCACGTGCAGCCAGACCGCGACCCTGCCGTCCGAGCGCCACTGCTGAACGGCCGCTGAAATGCAGGAGACACGCGCGTTTCAGTGGTTGCCAATGGGGATAGTAAACTACACTCAAACTCATCCAGGGCGTGGCCGCCTCCAGGAAGCCATTTTGAGCACCCACTTCCCTCACTAGTTAGCTATGGGGCGGAGGGATCCCCAAAATGTTCTGATCTCCCGCAGCGTGGGAACTGCCATCTTTTATGTCACGGCCATCTTGTTTACGTGACTTTCCCACTAGACTGAATTCCTCGTGAATAGTCAGGACAGGGATGGCTTTATATTCGTATCACCAGACACAATTGCTTGGCACATAATTGGTGACGAACAATTGCAGAGCTGACTTAAAATGCCATTTTAATGTTCCTTTTAACACTTTGGTTTTAATCCTTACAAGTGGGTATCGTGGGCTTCTATCATATTTACTCTTAAACAGTTATGTCATTTTGAAAAGCGAGTGAGGCCAACACAGTGACAGACACAGGGTGCAGGGGATCCACAAATTATTTGGGTTTTTAATAGGCAATGCCATTCAGTTCTGTTGGGCTTAATAACAAGAGAACCAGCAGTAGCTCTTGGAGGCAAGTCAGTGCAGCGGGAATAGATGCTAGAGCCCGAGAAGTAAGACTCACTCTGTGCCTCAGTATCATTATCTTTACAATGAAGATGTTAGTGCCTACCTCCCAGGGTTGTTATGAGAATTAAGTGGATTACTATTTGTAAAGTTCTTAAAACGGGGTCTAGCACTCAAAGTAAGTGAAACAGTATTTTAAAAATAAAAAGTATATGGTTCTTCTGAGTTTACAAATTAGTTTCATATCATTCATCTTTGATGACCACATCTATCCAGTAGTTTGCCCTGGCATTCACAGAAACAACCTTAGAGGCAAGTATTTTCCGAGGTGAAATGCCTAATGCCTGGCTAGGCACGTGGCAGAAACTGAACTTGAAAACTCGCTGTGTGACTCCACACCCAGGCCCCTCTCTTCTGCTCTGCCTTGCAGAGCTTTGATTACTGGTGTGGTCGCTGACAGGTGACGCATGTGTGCAGTACCTGTACCTGCCCACACATATATGTACACCTTTTAAAGAATGAACATTGATTTGAATCTTCTATTGGTGATGTTGCTGGAGTCAGCAATTATTCACAAACAGGAGAGAAGATGAGAAGTCGGTAGTTTAGAAATGAAGATGATTAAAGAAAGAGGAGCATTTGAGACCTTGCTACCCAGCATATGTCCTTAGTTTGGCTCAAATAAGCTCACAGAAATTGTCAAAACAAACACAAACTCAGCTCAATTATATTCACAGATAGATGCTCATTTGCCATATTGCTCAATAATAGGACTGAGATTATTCGAAGTTCATTAGTGTGAGGATCTTTCCCTGGCAGCACTTCCATGCTAAGCTTTCAATCTGTTAAGGTTGGGGGGTGGGGGGGGGGCACGGGGACAATTTGAAAAACAGGTTGCCCCACCAAATCTATGCTTCTCTCAAAGTGAAGACTCCTCCATCAAAACTTTCCTTCTTGTCACTGGACTCAGGGTCCAGAGTGGGTAGCACTCTTACTGAAGATGAGTCACTCACCCCCTTCCTGATTAAATCACGGCCCCGACCCGATTTGTATGCAAATACGACCACAGGGAACCTCTGGTCCACTCATTGTCCACCACATGTATGAGAGGGTCTGGGCATAGAGCCCGGCAAACCTAATGCTCAGGCAATGACACAAATGAATAAAGGGTTGGTACTGACAAAGTCTACTGAGCGTTAAATATGGGCGACACTGTGCTAAGCACTTTTTGCTCTTTACCAACTTAACTCTCGGCGACCTCATGCCGTCCTATTACCCAGTTTCACCGAAGAGGAAGTGGTGGTTTACAGAACCTGCCCAAGGTGAAGGTCACAGGCTAGAAGGTGGACCAGAAACTGGGACTGCCGACCCCGAAGTCTAGGATCGCCGCCATTCCCCGGAACCGCCTCGGAGACCTCCTAGCAAAGGGCCCGGGAACCAGCGGGAAGCGGGTGCGATCAGGCGCGCCCCCTGGGCTCGGTGCCCGCCAGGCTCAGGCGCGGGGTCGCGGTTATTTCGTTTGCGACCGGGGAGCCAGGAACCCTCGGCACAGCCACTTGCCCTGCAGAGCCCTCTGGAAGGTGGCGGCGTCCAGGCGGTCCAACGCGCCCAGCTGCACCGAGACGCCCCCGAATCTGTCCAGCTCTCCCCGCAACAAGCCGGCTCCGGCGGGAGGATCCCGCGCGCAACCTGGGCCTCCCGAGGCACCGCGGTGCCCGGCCAAGAGCCTGGCATCGCGGGCCCGGGCCAGTAGCGAGCCCAGATAGCCTCCGCTCGGCAGAGGTGACATCCCCACGCCGGCCCACACCGCCCGCTCGCTCAGCCCCCAAATCGCTCCGCCTCTGCCCACCGGAGAGGAGGTGCTACCGTAATCCCCAGAAGAGTGCCGCACACGCCGCCTAGAGTTGAGCGGGGCTTCTCCCTTTGCAGCGCTATATCCAGGAGACCACCAAGTCCTGTTCACCTGCTCCTCTCAGGAGTTTGCTCGGCCCCAGGACAGTGGGGAGAAACTTCCCCACCACTATTCTCCCACATCCCTGTAGTTTAATACAACGCATGCGTACGCAGGGCTAGAGAAGGCGAACGGAGATAGGAAAAGGTACTGTCTTTCTGGAATGTGCAGTCTAAATGAGGGTTCCGTCCACGTAATCCGTCTTCCTTTGCAGAAGGGCTCCCCGAAAACCGCGGGTTCTGGAGACCATGGGGTCCCCTATCCTTTATTTATTCGCTTCATTCGGAGAATTACGGCGCGGGGGGTGGGGTCTCGCTGACTTCTGCCCCGGAAGTTTTTCCCTCAGTAAAGCGCGCACGTTGAGCCGGCTTCGCTGCTTGTTTCCAGGCTGCCTTCCGATAATGTCTTCCAAGAAGAACAGAAAACGGCTCAACCGGAGCTCCGACAGCGGTTCGCCCTCGCCCGCCGCGGCTCACTCTCCTGCGAGGGCCTCGGCGGCTGGCGGCGAAGCCGGCTTCGCGGCGGCCATCGAGACTCTGGCGGTGATCAACTTCTTAGAAAAGGGTGAGAGCTGTGGGAGGACGGCCGGGTTCGCCGTCTGAGGGGACGGAGACCCGGCGATCCGCCTGCATGCGCCGCGCGCCCCAGGTGGCGAGGCCGACGTGGGCGGGGGCTCGCAGCCGGCTCCGCCGCCGCCGCGAGGGCACGAGCGGTCCCTTTGGTAAATTGCCTTGAATGGCCAAGTTGCACTCGAGACAACTTCGGCTCACGTGCGATGTCCGACATGTTTAGCGGCACGATTGCTCCTATTTGCGAGCACAGGGGGCGAAAAACGAAGTCGGGTTCAGTCCAGATGCGGGTACGTCCATCCCGAGCATCGCTCCTGCGCCTTCAGGGGCGGGAGGCGGCTCGTTCCCGCTGGACCGCACGGGCTCTGGGGGCGGGGGCGGGGGCAGGTCGTCGTTGTCCGCGAGTGTCGCCTTCACACTTGGTCTCCACAGACGCCCCGGGACACGGGTGCTGGGTTCATCGCGTCCATTTCGCGGGTTCCACAGCGACTACGCGCCAGGGGCGACCGTTGAGCCCAGACGTGTGTGGCCGCAAAGCCTCGATCTCAGCTCCGGGAGTTGGGACAACGGATTTACGGGGGGAGGCGTGGACGGGCAAAGCCTCTGCGGGTCCCGGCTTCGAAAATGCGGCCGAGGAGCGGCGGGGCGACCCTTGCGGCCGTCCTCCGCCGACCTAGCGCCGCGCCCCGCGTGACTCGCCGCCGGCGGGACGTGTCCTCGTCCTCCGGGCGGAGAGGCACGTGGGCGCGCCCGCCCGCCGGCCCCGCCTTCGAGGGGCCCTTTCGCTCCTCGCGGGTCCCCGCTGGGCCTGCACCCCGTGTTCCCCGGCCGCCGCTGCCCGGTCGCGGCCGTGCGTCCGTCCGCGAGGCCACAGACCCGCGGGGCCGGCTTCGTCGCCGGCCGCCCTTGACCTCCCTGTCGTCTGTCGGCTGACCGTTCCCTCCTCCGGGGACCACGTGACTCCTCCGCGTGCCGCCCCTTCAGACTTTTCTGGGTTTTCTTCTCCCCCGGGCGGGTGCTCGTCAGCCTGCGGCCCAGGCCCATCCCCTTCCGCCGCCGGCAGGTGCCGCAGAGCCCCCTTCCTCGTCCGACTGCCTTCTCGCCCAGGACTCTGCGGCGAGCGGCTCGGCGCCCGTCCTGGTCCGCCGCGTGTCTGCGGCGTGGGCGAGCCGCCGCCGCGGCGCACCGTCCCCGGAGCCGCGGTTCGCAGCCGCCTTCCCGGCACCGCTCACGCAAGCCCGTTAGTAAAACTCCGCGGCGCCCCAGAATGTGCGTTGTTTTGCTGCTCTGACAAAAGAAACAGACATAATTTCGATTCATGCACGCCGGCCGGCCTCCTTTTTTGGCAGCCTGAGGGGAAGGAGGTCGGCGCCCTCGCGGCTGCCGGCTGGGAGCTGCGGCGAGGTTTAAAATTGCCCGGATGGCACAGGTCAGGCGGTTGCACAATACAATAAAAGTGACTTACTGGAAAAATAAGTTAAAAAACAGAAATTTTTATTAGATTCCACAGATGTAAAATTACTGTGTCAAATTGCAGTCACCGCTTCTACACGGTGGTTCTGACTTTCTGCAGTTACCAGGACGCAGAAGCAATACTTTGCCGGCCACACTTGAAGCCGCGCTGGGCAATCCCTCCGCTCTTGGGCGGGTCCCAGAGCCTGGCAGACGGACCTCAGGAACCCGTTCCCTGCGGGCCGCGACCGCGGGGCCGCTCAGTTTTCCCGCGGCCGAATTCAGAGCCCCGGCGCCCCGCGGCAGCCCGCTTCCCTGGCCGCCCTCTCCCGCCCCGGAGCCCGGCCCTCTGTTCCCGCTGCGTGGGCAGGAGCCCGCACCCGGCCGGCGCCCCGCGCCCTGCAGCCCGGTGGCCTTTGAAACCAAGGCCCTGCCGGGACCCGGCTGCCCGCCCCTCCGCGGCCGCAGGCAGAGTAAGGCCCGCAGCTCCAGGCCGCCCGCCGCCCTTGGTGGCCTCGGCCCTCCTTGCGAGGCCCCCCGACGCCCCCCTCCTCTGCCTGCCCCCTCTCCTCTGAGCTCCGCCCGCCCGCCGTCTCTGTACCTGCTGTTCTTCGCCCAGAATTCTGGTGTCCCCCCTTCACTTAGCCAATTCCGCCGCCTCCTCCGGATCGGGATGGAAACGGTACTTCTCTTACTCTTCCAGGTTAGATCAGATCCCACTTTAAAGCCTTTCTTTCTAGCACACTAAGTCTTTTTTTTTTTTTTTTACATTAACCTTAGTTTATAATTATGCAGTTATTCAGTGGTTATTTAGTAACTGTTGTCCTGTTAGATTGTGGGCTCCCTGCGAGGCCAGGGACTGCGTCGCCTCTGTCCCCAGTGCCTCACGGAGCGGCTGCCGCACGTTAGTCACAGAGCAGAGATTTGCTGAATGGCTGAGTGAAGTGTGGATGGTCGTTTGAAATTCCCGCTGCTGTCTCATCCGCTAACCCGGCTCATAAATGCTCAAAAAATCTGAAGTTCGTTACCAGAGTGAGTTAGTAGACGTCAAGATGTATTTCTTAAGTTTTCAAGGATTGGGGACTGGTGGCCGGAACTGTGGAGGGCAGCTCGCCGACGTGTGTGTTGTGAGCAGAGGGTACAACGGAGATGTCCTGGGAAGTCAGGCCGCGCGGCCTTTGGAGGGTGATCTCCACGGGTGACGCAGGAAGTGGCGGTATTTGGAGAGGCCTGTGATGTGTCGCATCCCGGTGCTCGGTGAATGTGCAGGGTAGAAGCGGGGGAAGAGAAGAAAATGTAGACTCTTGCTGAGGACTGATACACCTGTCACGAGGGAACGTCCGTTATGAGGTCATCCGGCGGGACACTGTCATTACGGAGGGGCGAACCGCGGGAGAGACCCGATGCTCACAGGAAAGTTGGATTTCCTTTCAATCTGTTATATTATGAAATATGCTCATTTTTTAAAAAATATTTTATTTACTTCTTTTTTGAGAGGAGGGAGGGAGGGAGAACGAGGGAGAGAGAAACATTGACTGGTTGCCTCTCACATGCCCCCAACGGGGGACCTGGCCAATGACCCAGGCCTGTGCCCTGACTGGGAATCGAACCAGCGACCATTCTGTTCGTAGGCTGAGGCCCCTTCCGCTGAGCCACACCAGCCACGGCAAAATATGCTCATTTTATTTTATACTTAGTACGATGAATCTTACCTCAGTGTAATGCTTCGTGTTTTTAGATTTATTCATCTGATGATAGGAGGAGAATAAATGTTTTTGGGATGTTATTTTGTTATAGCAGAGAGTAATGTAAATCAGACATACCTTTTGGTTTTCTTTCATTTACCTAATTTTTAATTACAGAAGAGCTGTTTTTCTGATTATTAAGGAACATTAATATGAGAGCTCTATGATTATGGTATATGTAATTTTATAAGAAAGTCTGTGGCAGGTTAAAATTTCATTAAGTATTATGGAATTTTACTGAAAAGGAAAATACTGTGTACTCGTCTACTACATTCATTCATTTAACAGACATTTATTATGGAGCTGCTATATTTGATGCCTTGCTAGGCATTGGAGATACAAAAATAAATATGGCTCCATTCCTGTCCTGAAGCAGTGTATAGTTTGGGAGAAAATCACACTGTGAAACAAACGAATATTATGATGCTGAGTGCTAGTAACAGGCAGCATGAGATGCTGGGAGAGTCAGAGGAAGGAGCGCTAACCCAGCGTGAAGCTCGAGGGGTGAGATGTTAGCACGTCATTTTCAGAAGCATTGCCAACGGGGCTGAATTCTGGGCCTGGCAGTGTAAGAGTGCTCACCTGAGGGGCTACTGTGGTCTCCATGTATCCTTGGGAACCGAAGAAAAATATCTGATTGCTATTACGTGGACCGGAAGTGGAAATGTGACCTAATCCTCTAGAGCCAGATGAGGGACCAGCTCCCCAATTCAACTCAGAGTCGGTAATACAGAAAGGAAAGTTCAAAGACTTCTGGTTGCAAGTATGTTCAGTTCCTTGTGAAATTAAAAAAAAATTTTTTTAAGGATTTTATTTATTTTCAGGGAGAGGGAAAGGAAGAGAAATATCAATGTGTGGTTGCCTCTTGCGTGCTCCCTACTGGGAACCTGGCCCGCAACCCAGCGCCCTGACTGGGAATCAAGCAGTGGCCCTTTGGTTCACAGGCGGGCACTCAACCCAATGAGCCACACCAGCCGGGGCAAATTTTTTTTTTTTTAAATAACGAAAACCATTAGCTACTCCGTAAAACGTTCTTTTGTTAAGTTAAGCAAAGCCCAGACTCATACTGTCTGTGGATCCTCTAAGGGCTTGGTTTTAAGTCTGTTAAAGTAAGAAGGGGTGAACAGTGCTTTCTTCAGGGTATGGTACGTGTGTTTATGTGGTTATGTGGATAGATGATTTTTATTTTCTCCAAAAGAAAGCATGTCTTTAATTTTAATTACAAAATAATACAAAAATAATTTTCTTTTACTCTTGGTAGATGACAAAGTTTCTAAAAAGTTCCAGAATTCCCTCGTTCAACTTGGACTCAACACTATGAAGTCTGCAAATATATGTATAGGCCGACCAGTGCTGCTTACCAGTTTACACGGAAAACAAGAGGTAACAGTCCTTGTCATTTTCTTAGTCTGGAAAGATTTGAGAGGTTTTGGATTGTAATTTTCAACACAAGGAAAAAAACAAAACCTCTATTTTAAAGACCCTCTCCCCATGTCAGCTGTCGCCTCCTTCGATGTCTGACTGCAGTGGGAGTACGGTCCCTGGTGTCACGGTGGAGGGAGTGAGACCTACACTGTCGTCCTCATTCTCCCGGTCTGTCACTTGTCTCTACAGAAATACGCTTTGGGGGTATGAAGGTCACCATGTCTTTTTCATACAAATACTTGATTGCCCCCCCTCATTTTCAGCCTCCTTTCTCCTTGCTGCTGCTTTTTGGCAGCTTGGTTTGTTTCTTGTCTGCTGTGGCCCCTGCCTCTGCTGCGTCTTCTCTGCACCGTGACTCAGTGTTCTCTCATCCCCTGGAGCCCTCTGGAAAGGCTTTGAAATCTTCCCTGCTGATGTCATGCCTCCCAGTCTTTTCACTGTTTCGGGCTTAGCCTTAAGGACCCTGTACTGTGTCTTGTGGAAGAGGAGCCACCGAATGTCCGAGCTCAGCCCACTGCCGGAGCGTCCCGCTTGCCTGGGGACGGGCTGGTTCCCCAGAGCTCTGGCGCTGCCGTCCTGTTTCCTAGGTTAGATTTACGTTCCGGCTGGGCTACCTGCTGGCATCTTCCCGGCAGGATCTCATCTCATTTTCTTCTCCCCTGCAACACCTCTGTCTCTTTTCCTGTCCCCGCCTCTCAAATCTTCCACCATTTTCTCTGTGGGGTCATTTGTAATCTTCACAAAAAGATGTAATATTTATAAAAACTCTTAATAACTTGTGTCAGATTGTAACCCCTTTGGCAGGTGCATGGGCTTGGCCGGGCTTTACAAATCACTGGTAGAGTATGAGTGCTAATTTTCTCGTGTCTTTCTTCCCTGGGTCCTGGGCAGGTCTACACAGCCTGGCCTGTGTCCGGCTTTCCCGGAGGCAAGGTCGGCCTGAGCGAGATTGCGCAGAAGAATGTGGGTGTCCGAGTTGGCGACGCCATCCACGTCCAGCCTCTACTGGGCGCTGTGCTGCAGGCCGAGGAAATGGACGTGACTCTCAGGTTTGGCTCTTTTCTTTGGTGACTGAGTAAGCGCTGCCCCGTAGAAATATAATGAGAGTCACAAATGTGAACCACATAAGTAATTTTGCATTTTCTAGTAACCACATTTAAAAGATAAACACATGAAATTATAATTATATAATTTATGTAATATGTGTAAAATCTTATTTTAACTTAGAGCTATAAAAAGTATTAATAAGATTTTCATTCTATTTTTTACACTAAGTTTTCAAAATGCAGTGTGTATGTTACAGTTACAGCACATCTCAGTTTGGACTGGCCCCGTGTGGCGAGTGGCTAGTGGCCTCCTGCATTAGAAGGCACGAGCTAGACGAGTGCTGTGTGACTTAGGGACTGGGGACTCCAGTGCCTCTGATTAGAGTGTGCCCTGACACTTCAGGTGAGAGGAGTTACTGCTGATGGGTGTTTAGCTATGTTTTTCGTCTGGGTCTGCAGCGCACTCAGGGCCGCTTGCCATTTTTACAGCTGTGCAGGAGGGCGTAGGATACTGTGAGAAGGCAAGAAGCAGGTTTTAATTGAGACTGCTCAAACGACGTACTTGACTATATATTTTAACTCCTTGGTTATTCATTCTAGTGAAACATTTATTTCTATCAGATTTTTAAATGGCCCCTCACCAAAGACTAGTTGTTTGAAACAGCTTATCAATATAGTTAAATCGCTCATCCTCTTGGAAATTCTGTATCTAATAGGATTTTGACTTAGTTTGGATGTAAAAAATCTTACCAAGATTTGTTTTTTAAAAGATCGTCTCTTGATACTTCATTCAACTTTTGAATTTTATTTATTGATTTGAAAGAGAGAGGAAGGGGGAGAGAGAGACAGCCAGCCAGAAACACCGATTTGTCGCTCACTTACTGATGCATCCAGCAGTCGCTTCCTGTATGTGCCCTGATGGAGCTGCAGCCTTGGTGGAGCGGGGAGATAGGCTAACAACCGAGCTGTCCGGCCAGGGCCTTTGACACTTTAGTATCACTTTAGTCACCGTGTTGGGGGAGTGTGTGTGTTAATACAAGAATCACACAACGTTTTTCAATCTAGCTTGATTTTAAAATGTTTTCTTCTCTTTTGCTACTTTTGTAGATGCCAAGCTTTAGCTTTGGCATATTTTTTTTCTGAAAAACAGGAAAATGTTTTCAGAGCATTAACAGCCATTTACCAAATGATAAAATAAAAGGTAGAAAGGAAGAGGAACTCAGCACAAGTTGAGCACCAGCTGTGTCCTAGCACACATGTGTGCATGCACATATTTTTCCTTTTTCTTTACATTTAACCCCCTAAACATCCTGCAAGTTGTCCATACATACCCCTTTTTCCCAGCGAGGAGAAGGAGCTTGCCAGTTCCTGTGTGGCGGCTCCTGTATGGCGGGCTGGTTAGTGTCAGCGCTCACACTGCCTGCAGACGGGTCTGTGGGCACAGCCCCCGGGTCTGGGCTTCCGAAGATCCGCTAACTGTGACCTCCGGAGAGCACGGCACTTCTGGTCATGATGGGGACCTGCAGTGGAGGGACTCCATAGGTTTTCCGTGGAAGCTTGGTTTTAAATTTTTTATTTAAAAAAAATCTTATAGTTTAAATGTGGCAGCAAGCAGAGCTTAGATAAGAGATGTAATTTCCAATAAGAAAAATAAGTAATTTTAATCTGCTGCTTAAAGCCTTTAGTTGTATGCTCTGAAACATTTCATTAGTAAGTTTAGAGCTCCTTCTAGTGGAAATGATTTTATCCACACCCATTCTTTTTTTAAAAGCAAACTGGTTTGAGTGTTTTTACTGTTCTTGCACATATCTGTAAATATCTTCTATTCAGAGTTTAATAAATAGAAACAATTTAAGTATAACTGGTTCAGATTTCTAGAAACAAATAAATTTAAGCATCTAGGGAGTCACATATTATTTCCTCTTTAGTTTATACATACATTTGACTCATGAAATTTCCTTCTTATATTTTTCTCTTCCTTTTTCTTTTATATGAATACACAATCAATTCTTGTTATTCGTGCTATTGTATTCTGTAAAATTGCCTCGAACATTGAATTAAAACTGAACCGTTGTTCCTAGGGGCCTATGTATTTTTATATTTAACATATATAAATATGCAAGTATTATCTATTTTATATACATTATAATCTTAAATTCTTAGAACACTTTATTCTGGTATATTCTATTTTTTCTATTTTCTATATTTAAGAAAAGAGAAGAGGTAGTTCAGAGGTGAGGCCACCTCACTGACAGCTGCCGGAGTCAGGATTGAGACTCCTCGCACAGGTCCCACAGCTGGAACTCGCACTGTCCCTGCATTGTCCCCTGCCGTCTCCAGCTGCCAGCCTCCGGTCACCTGTGCTGAGGGATGAAACAAGAGGCTGGGAGAGTGTTGTGTGGCTCACATTCTTTGCCTCCTTTATGCATCCCCATGAATGACTGGGAAAGCTCTGCTAGTACTGACTTGGGGGTCACCAGCTCATTTAGCAAGTAGGTGACTTGCACGTAGGGAATTGCAGATAATGAATGTCAGCTTTGCTGGCTGTGTTACTGAGACAGTGGGGGTGTGGCTTAGACCTGGCCCAGCGGCCCTGCCAAAACACCTTTCTCTGAGGCAAACCCTCCCTTTCTACTGATGTCAGCAGAGCACACAGCTGTCGGCCCTGTGGGCTGCTGCTACACACAGAGAAGGAACATGTGCGGAGTTCTGAGAACTCTCCAAGGACGTGTTCCTGTATAGGTGCCACGATTTTTAGATGTGCGTGCTTCCTGGACTAAAACAAGAACCTTTCTGGAATGTACTGTTGTCAGTCAGAATAGGGTTCTCATTTTTCTTAGACATGCCTTTTCTCCAGAATAAACTTCCACTGTACCATTCTCGTTTTTATTTCTTCCTCTTTAATAATGTACTATATTTTTTTTTTCAGAAAAAGCTAGGATTTTTCTTTTCTGAAAGATAATCTATAAATTACTCAAAAGGAATGAAGTAAGCTATAAGTAGAAGCCTTTTGCCAAGCTAGGCAAGTTTGGTAAGGAATTAAGGGCAGCATTTTTCAAATGTTTTTGACTGACACCCAATAAAAAAAGGAACATTTATCATTGTGATTCATTGTATATACACATCTACAATATATAAACACAGAATGCACATATGCACAGGTGTGTATGTGTATACAATGAAATAATATGTTACAAAGCAATATTTACCCTATCTGTGTGTGGCATACTCTGGCATTTTGTATTTTATTTTAAAAGTGCTGGGTAGGACTGACAAATGATTTCATGATGTACTAATGGATAGTACCCTATTTTTTTTAACATTTAAAAAAATTTTATTTACTTATTTTTAGAGAAGGAGGAGGGAGGGAGAAAGAGAGATAGAGAAACAACAATGCATGGCTGCCTCTCATGCACCCCACCGCCGGGGACCTGGCCTGGAACCCAGGCATTCACCCCGACCAGGAATTGAACCTGTGACCCTTTGGCTCTCAGGCCAGTGCTCAGTACACTGAGCCACACCACTCAGGGCTATATCCTATATTTTGAAGAACACTGACTTAGGCCACGAGGACATCAAACTGCAGGTGACATTTTCATGGCTATAAGAACTATCTGAAAACTGTAAATCATTCCAAAATTGTGTAAATCGTTTCCAGGTTTTGAATTAATTATGCTTTTGATTAGGTCTACATTATAGCTATGTATGTATTATTTTATATTTAAGCTTTTGGTATACTTAGTGTTTATTTCTATTTTCCCCTTTACAGTGATAAAAATCTGGATATCAATGAAGAGCAACTTGCTGGTTGTCTCCTGAGAAAACTAGGTGAGACATGTTTTAAACAGTTTTTTAAGAAGCAAGGCAGTAGCAAATAAAGTTATGTGTCTTTGAGGACTTGTATACTTAATCTTATTTTCAAAGTAGTGTAGAAAATATTCTCTTCAATGAATTAATGTCTTTTTAAGATAGTGATGTGTTGTATTCCCTCCCCCACCCCGCCCCAATTAACTGATTGGTAGTTGAGCAACAGGGAGAATATACATCATGGCTATGGGCAAAGTCATGGGAGAACTGAGACTTTGAACCCTTGAGCTCTTGCTCTTCCTAGTGAGAAGTGTTATCTTGGTGTGTTGGCATAACAGTGCCAGTTTGGTTTATTATCAAATGTAGACCACCTGGCTATTTGTTAATGTAGTTGATAGAGTCTTCGCCATTTCAGAGAGTCATCTTATTTTTCTTTGATCTCCAGATAGTACTCCCTTATAGGGGAATAGTAGGGCCTTTATTTCTTATGACAATTATTTTATTAATACTCCCATCTTTGATTTAGTCTTTTCAGTCAAGGAGCTTCTTTAATTGATGAAACAAATTGCTTTTTAAACATTAGATGGGTGAAAAACTGTGCTAACATGTATGTTCAATAAATTATTCTATAGATGGCAAGATTGTTTTACCAGGCAACTTCCTGTACATTACGTTCTATGGACGACCGTGCAAGCTGCAGGTGCTGCGAGTGAAAGGGGCGGATGGCACGATACTGAGATGGCTGCAGAGCAGCTCTGACGCTGACGCCCATGGTGTGCCCTCTGCACAGGCTGGCATTGAAGCCAGCGCCCTGGATATGTCCTTGCAGCTAAGCCAGCTGGACCTGGAAGGGCCTCGGGTCCCACCGTCAAGCAGCACTCCCTGCAAACCAGTAGATGACAGAGAGAAAAAGAAAGCCGGTGACACTTTGTCGGATGTCTCACAGAGTCCTGGTGGCAGCAGTGGGCTTGGGCTCGAGGAGGTCTCAGGTCTTGAATATAGCTTCGTGTCTGCCAGAGACGGAAGCAAGCACCTTACCAGTGAAGAGAGAGGGCCAAAGTCAGACAGTCTGGGAGCAAAGTGCAACACTGACTCTTTCTATTTCATTTCTTCAATAACCAGAGTCAATTTTATAAAACTTTGTACAAATTCTAAAGACCAGGACAACCAATTCAAAATAACTTATGACATGATAGGTGGCTTAAGTGGTCAGCTGAAAGCAATTAGAGAAATAATTGAACTTCCTCTGAAGCAGCTTGAACTATTCAAGAGTTACGGTATGATTTCTTCAGTGTATGGCACCCAAACGTGTTCAATTCAAACTTGAAAGCAGTTTGCTCATTACACTTTAATAACTGCCCGCCCTTTTACCTACATTTCTTTCCTGAGTGGTAGGCATGGCAGGAGGTGCGGGTTGCTTTGGGAGATGCCAGTTGTTGAGCTCTCTTCTGTGCCGGGTCCTCAGGTTGCAGTGAGTTGGTTGCAGCCTTGTCTCTTCATTGCACACTTGCACAGTTGTTTGTACTGGATCTACGACAAGTCTCTTGTCAGGCTAGGTCAGCTGTAATGACTAAAGACATAAGCCATGCGCTGATGAGACTTCTTGGTTAGGAAACGTAGCTGAGTCCGCACGTCTGCATGAGGCGAGTGGTTAGGGCAGTGGCTGGGTTCCTCGCAAACGAGAGCCGCTGCCATGTGGCTGCTGCCTGGTGCTCTGCACGTACTCGGTGTGCACCATCTCCATCTCTGCTTTTGTCTTTTTTGCAAGTATGTATGTATGTACATATAAAATGAACCCTTGGATTGCCATTTTGATAGGAATGCGTGTGTGTTTCCAGACAGCTGGTTGGATAAAAATTGGGATTGGCGGTTTGCCTTGTGCTGCCTTGTTGTCTGGACTTGGCGTTGATGATGTGGGATGGGCCATGGCAACAGTGTGGTGTCCAGCCAGTTCTTGTCCGCGTGCCTGGACGGGCTGGGTCTGTAGAGAGAGAAGCAGTTACTGCCCGAGAGCAGTGTTTGGCCTAGTTAGTACCTCTTTCTGGGCAGAGTGAAGAAGGTCTGACTCTTTTGTGATGCGAGATAAATTTGTACCTTTAACTTGTCTTTTAAGCCATATGACAGCAGTTACCAGAGCCTTAGCAATGCTGACTTCAGGTGCTCTCTTGTCCTTCCAGGGATCCCTCCCCCTAGAGGGGTGTTGCTCTACGGCCCCCCGGGGACGGGCAAGACGATGATCGCCAGGGCCATCGCCCACGAGGTCGGAGCGTACATGTCCGTGATAAACGGCCCTGAGATCATCAGCAAGTAGGTGCAGCCTGTAATAGAATACCAGCGTTCTGAAGCATGCTTCTTAAATACGTTTTTTTAGGGCTCATTCGTAAAGATTTGATTTAGTTGCATGTACGTCACTCAGCTGAGCTCTTTAATATCTACAAATCAGACATAATTGCATTTTTACATATCTTGAAAAACCACAGTAAAGTACTGGAAATTAAAAACTTACATTATGATGAGAAACTCTGCCTATGCCATTATTATTATTTGATAATAATAAAACAAAATTTCAGAGATAGTATTTATTACTGAGCCCCAGTTACAGTGATTTGGAGAATAGAGTAAATATCTAGCAGTGAAACAGGTCCAGAACCCTTATCACAAAGACTTAAATTATATAAGGTAAACCCAAAACAGGAAGGAGGCCTTACTTATTGCATAGTTCTGGTTTTTAAGTAACTATAACATTTAGTCTTATGTTTATCATATCATTGTAGCATTACTTTGCAAAAACAGGTAATAGTTGTAGTCAAATAAAATCATCATACATCAGTATAACATACTTTTTTTTTTAAAGATAAAACAACACTTACTTTGGGTTATTCCCTCATTTAATGTTTGTTTTAGTAGGTGAGTGGGAGTATCTTTTCAATTAAAAAAAATTCTGAACCAAAAATAGCTGACATGGAAAACCTAAATATATGAACTATCCGTAACTCTAAATACTGTTTGTCTTGAGTGTTGACTGCAGGCTTCACAGTAACTTACCGTTATTTCTTTTTCTTTACAAACACAGGTTCCGTGCTGGGTAGAAAATAAACTTTGCTTTTGCAAGTAGTGTAACAAAACTAAACCTTCACAAGTAGTTGCAAGGATACAATTGACCTTAAAATATTAAAAATACCATACAAATTTAAGAACACAGGGTACTTTTATCATATAGAACTTAATTAACGGAAATGACTCCCATTCTCATGGCACTTTTATAAGAAATTTAATTAAAAAAATATATTGAGAAGCTCTCTGTGGAAAAAGAATGAAGTAATGGCTGCAGCTCTGAGAGGACAAAACGGGCCGTCCTGGTCTGGTTGCAGTGGCTCTCGTGTGTCCTCACTGACGCATTTTAAAGCAAGGACCGTGGTGTGCATTCGGAAAGTCCGTCAGGGACCATTCCAGGGCCCTGGATGCAGCCCTGCCCGTAGTGAGAGTGCTGGTCATCGCACCGAGGCACTCGCCCTTCGCGTGACTGTGCGCCTCACTGCCAGTGGCTTCACAGAGGTCCTTTGTGTTCTCTCGGGTTGCACGCGAATAACCGGCATCGGCCACACAAAGAGAAAGGGTGGTCAGTCCGAAAGCCATTATAGGTCTGTGAGGTTTGTGGAGGCTCAGGTGCTGACGGCAACCTGCCTCAGGAGGATTTGTTGCCTGCTGCGGCGTTACCTCCTCGAACGCCAGAGATGCTCTGCTCAAATGTGGTTTTTAAAAAATGGTTGCATAGTATTCTGTGTGGATGTTTTGTATGTCTAAATGTTTTAAATTTTCTTTTTAATGTATATACAAATTGTTTGGGAAGTAACTTTTGAAAGTAATTTTAAGTATTTTGGAAATATTTGGAAAGTCAAATGAGCTTTTATAGAAAAGGCGTTAAAAATATTGAGTTAGCCTTTAAATGTATTTTATTTGTTACAGATTCTATGGGGAGACTGAAGCAAGATTACGTCAGATATTTGCTGAAGCCACTCTGCGGTATTCTCCCTCTTCAGATGTTTGAAGTTAGGAGTTAAGATGTGTTAATCGAAGTAGAGATACCAACACTTTATACAAAGCATGGAAGAATAGTACAAAACTATTAGTGGTAGCATGAGAAGAGATTGTAAATCTAATGATTTTCTATCAAATTGATTTTATCTAAAACTTTTGGAAGCTTGATAAGTGAGTTATTAAATTACGTAAAGTAGCAAAAGGTACAAACTTCAAGTTATTAAAGAAATAAGTCATGGGGTGTAATGTACAGAATGGTGCCTAAAGTTGATATTTGAAAGCAGTAAAGAGAGTGGATCTTAAAAGATCTCATCGCAAGAAAGGAAGTGTTGTAATTATACACGGTGACAGAGGTCACCGTGGCTAGACTTGTGATTGTTTCACAAAAGTACAAATATTAAACTGTTACATTGTGTACTCGGAATTAATATAATGTTATATGTCAATTTATTTCAATTTCTAAAAATTACATAAGGTAAAAGAATTAAGGCAGTGTTATTTGATGTCATGTCACTTAGGCATACAAATTTATGGTTTTCTTTCTTTTGGGCTCGCAGGCATAGTCAGCATATGTCGTTCCTTTGTAGACTATAGTGCATTAGCCCTTCATTCTTAAAACTTTGTTTAATTATACTTTGCTTCAAAGGGACAGATGTTTTGCTCTTAAACCACAATTTTTATTGCTTATTCCTCAAATTAGGCTACCATGTTACATTGTAAGGAGCAGTTGACTATGGTCTATGACTTAGTCTAATGTAATATTTATCATATGGCTAGGTCGCTCTCGTTGTTTGCGTGTTTATCTTACCCTAATTACTGCTGTCTTATCAAAAGAACTTCTTTGGTTCTTTGTTTAAAATATTTTAAAGTAATATTTTTAAAGTTTTTTTCCCCAGTAATAGGATAGTTGAAATATGGAGTCTGTAGTCTTAATCCTGAAGGTTTGAGAGCCAGCGTGTACGTTATTATTTAGTGTATTTTTATTGTCATTGATATGTTCGCGACAGTTAAGGTTCCCTCTTAGGAGAGATTCACATCTTTTTATAGGAGCACTGACCATATTGAAAGTTACTTTTTAATAGTTAAAAAAAAAGAGCACATTTCTGCTTTCCCCACCTTGGACAGTAGGCCTGCTCCTAGGGACAGCATCTCTAGTCTCAGCTCCTGAATTAATCGAGGCGCCACAAGTCGGCGGTGTTAGCGGGCAGCTGCTGCCTGGGCACAGCTCCCGGCGCAGGAGCAGCAGCCTGCACCCGGGGCTCTTCTTTCACGGGCCTCAGGGCCACCAGAATGTGATTTTGGTGAGCTGGCAGTTTAGCTAGAATTAACCCAAGGCTTTTGAGTTTAACATCCTTTTCCCTTTGTCTTTTAATAGTGTTAACTAAATCGTAAATGTGACATGTTGTGTTTGATTTATAGCTTTAATTTTTTAATTGAAATACCATGTCTTAAGTTTAAAAATGAAATGTATATTAGAGAATTCATTTTGCTTCTTTGTTTTTAGGCACCCATCCATTATTTTTATTGATGAGCTGGATGCACTTTGCCCAAAAAGAGAAGGGACTCAGAATGAAGTGGAGAAAAGAGTTGTAGCTTCACTCCTAACACTGATGGACGGCATTGGCTCAGTAAGTACAGCGCCACTGTTGAGTCGGTGTAGGAAGGGGTTGACTCTTAATGCCTTGTATGTATGTGGTAGCAAAAACTACCCAATATACCTTGAGTTTTAGGGTATTCTAGGATGAGGGAAAAATATTAGCCATAAAAACTAGAGGAAGGACCATAAAATAATTTTCTGGGGCAGATTCCTTAGTAACTGCTAGAGCAGTATAACCTGGTATGTTTTTCTAGCATATAAAATAATATATGATGATGGGTTTCTTTTATAATAAATACATGTTATTAACTTTAAAACCTGAAGCAAAAATCAATAAGAAAGATTTAGTGGTTAGATTTTAGGGCAATTTACAAAGAAATTTCATGAGTAAGTCTTATATGCCCATGTGTAAATTGATACTTCGGGGACAAGTGGAAGGAAAGAAAGTGAGAGTAATGGAAAATGTATTTGTTCAGCATTTGAAAAGAATTGACCTTTTCACTAGCTTCTCTGACAGGGCGGCACCCTTAGGTTAATAAAGTCTGTGCTGATTACTGAAGGGAGACCCACGTTCCTGACGGTCATCCATCAGAAAATACATTTCTTATGCAGGATTGTAAATAACTTATTTTTTAGAATCATGTTAGAACCTAAATAAATTTTTAAAATTATGTACTCCTTATGCATATTAAAACACTGGACTATTAGAACTTTTTGGTTTTTACAGCTTATTGGTGGAAACTGAACATGTGAAAATAATGTGAAGATTTCATATTGAGTCTCTTTTTTTTTTAAATCTTCACCTGAGGATATGTTTATTGATTTTTAGAGAGAGGAAGGTTGAGGGGGAACATTGTTGTGAGAGAGAAACATTGATCGGTTGCCTCCCTTATGTACCCCGACCAGGGATTGAACTCGCATCTTAGGTGTGTACCTGACTGAGGATTGAACCTGTAGCCCTTTGGTATATGGGACAGTGTTCCAACTGACTGAGCCAGTTGGCCCGGGCAAGGCTCTGTTATTTGCCAACAGTGTGTTAAAATGTTAAGAGTAACACAAGAGAAGGATTGCCGTCTGGGGGAGGCTGGGTGACCCCCTGGTTCTCAGTCTTGGGTCAGTACCTAGGTGTGATTGTCATGTCTCAGGTTTGGTTCTCAGTTGATGAAGCTGGAGAATCCAACATTAGTCTTTCGGAATTGGTGGGGCTCTGATGACCGACCCACAGTAATAATACTCACACGTCTGACACATAACCTGGGGCACCAGTTTGTGTATAATGAGAAATAGAGTTATTAAGCTGACCAAATATCTTAGTTTATGGATGACTCTCATTTTCACCCAAAAGGCATGTATACGGAGAACTGTATTGTAATTAGGAATCTTGGCGAGTAGGAATTCAGGAGAAAGGCTCTGGCTGGAGCATCTTAGTCACTGAGCGCAGCTGCCTCTTTCTGTGCCCCTGGGGCAGGCCTGCTGTGGGCCGGTGTTCGTGCCTTTGGGTGGACGGCAAGCGTGTGACGCTGGTGTTTTAGTCCGAGGATGGTTCAGGGCCTGTATTTGTCTTCTGAATTCATAATAACCCATGCATTTTCTTTTGGCAAATCCGAAATAATTGATTAGGTTTGAGTTTTCTTTGAATCACATTTCAGGTACGTTAGCCTCTGTAGATTACACTTGGGTCTTCTGAGTAGAATGTTGGATAATTTTTGTAGATGGCTGATCATGATCATAGTTCTTTACAATTTGTTCCAAATTTCATTCTCAGTAAAAGTCCATACATACTCAAGTATTGCTGATACTCGGGTTTTAGTTATATTGCTGTTGGTGTTTTCAGGAATTTAAAAATTTATCAAAATTAAAAAAGAAAACAATCCATATGTGAAGATCTCTTTGACAACTATTCCGGTGCCTTCTTCTATTTAAATAATCTGTAGGTTGTAATCTTTGCTTTCAAGTAAGAGAAAAGGACAACTTAAAACATTTAAGTTAAAATAACTATATGATAGTGTGTTATATGTTATTATTCATAGGAATAGTAGGTAAGGTGCTACGTGTGGGAGAGCCATTCTTTGAGTAGACGGGAAGGCAGGTGTTGGAACGCTTCCTAGGGGAGGGAGCACTCGGGCTGCTTGAGGAAGTGTGGGGTGGGCAGTAAGAGTGGAAGGGCTCAGCCGCCTGGACAGTCAGATCCGTCCATCCTTGCTGCCTGCGTGTGCGTGTGTCTCTTTCTATAGATATGTATGAATGTGTATTATATGTTTTATTTTTAGAAGAATAACTAATTTGTTTTTATTTTATTTTATTTTGATAGGAAGGAAGTGAAGGACAGGTGTTAGTCATTGGGGCCACAAACCGCCCTCACGCTTTGGATGCTGCACTCCGCCGACCTGGGCGATTTGATAAAGAGATTGAGATTGGAGTTCCTAATGCTCAGGACCGGCTGGACATCCTTCGGAAGCTGCTGCGAAAGGCCCCCCGTGCCCTCACGGAAGCTGAGCTGAGGCAGCTGGCGAGCAGCGCTCACGGATACGTCGGGGCGGACCTGAAAGCCTTGTGTAACGAAGCAGGTGACGGAGGTTTGCTGTGTAGTTGGTCTGTGGTGATGGGCTTCGTAACTCTAGTTTTTATATAAACTGATAATTTCTATCTCATTTCGTAATGAAAATGGTTAATTTTTTCTAATCATAAAAGATATATTTATTGAAAAAATCTAGGTAATTCATGAAACTATAATAAAGAAAAATCACTCTTAATCCTGCCTCCTAAATATTACTACTATTAGAGCATATATCCTTTCAGATTTTTCTTACGTCTGCACATACACACAGATGTATAAATGTATGCATTAATGGTAGTAGTAATGATAGTATTTATTAACATTGTGCTATGGAAATTAGGGTGCCTGCAAGATCAAATTTTACTTAAGGATCAGCTTTGTATTTGTTGAAGTGCTGTAAAAGCGCTTAGTGAAACCAAAGAATTCTATGCCTCAGAGTATGTGATGGTGATGTTTAAGGCTGAAACCGTTTAAGGGCTATTATTAATCATTTGGCTCTTTGACTTTAAGAACTTCACTTGTTATAACTGTAGTTACTTTGGAAGCCTTAAGACCTTTTAACGTGTGGGCAATTTTTCAGAGTAGTTTCAGCCATGGAAGAGGTATTTATTTAGATCAGGGCAGTTTTTATAAGCTATTGAAATATTTGATCAGGCAAGTAAGGCTTCATTGAAAGCTTTCTGATGGCTTTTTCCCCCTTCCTGAAAGGATGTGTGTATTTTTTGGTAACCTCTAAAGGCGGGGGACATACCTCAGATCATCTCTGGTTTCCCAGTAATCTTAGGTGCCTTATATTTATTCCTTTTTCTTGTGCGAGCATTTGTTTCTAAGTTCTTTCCTACTTTGGAGGTATTTTGTTCAGTTGTGGCATGATGTTGTTCCAGTTGTGAGCTATCCAATATTTTCATAAGGTGCTATAAAGAAAGTTTAACCCTTGCCAAGGTAATAGAAGACATTGAATTCTTGAGTTGGAAATTTAGTTATTCTAGAGCTTTAGTACAGAAATAGAGTAACTCATAAGTTCCTCCAAATCATTGATTCACAGCTCATCTAATTTAGTTGGCTTTGTCAACTCTTTCATTAGTCCTTGGCCCTTCTGATCTGGCCTGACTGCACGAAAAGAGATTAGAGAATGAAGAATGGGTGGGAAAGGAAAACTTGAAAGAGATACTTGGGAGTCTTTCAATATCTCACTCTTGGAGGAGAAAATCAGGTTTATTTCATTCTGTTTGATCATTATTGTGATTTCCATGTTAGAGGGCCCACAGTTGGGGAAGACTGCAGGTTATGTAGACACAAGGCAAACACAAACATTCTTCTGGTACATCATGGTGTAAGCACAGGGCTCTTTCTGTCTAGTTTCTTGTGCTTCACAAGAAGTGGTGAGATTGATCATGAACTGAATTCCTGATACATCAGGAAACAGATGTATCAGTGGATAACTTGGTTTCCTTCATTCCATTAGGTGATAATGAAGAGTCTGGGTTACAGGCATACCTTTTTTTATTACTTTGCTTTATTGCACTTCATGGATGTGTGTTTTACAAATTGAAGGCAAGTCCCTCCACCAGCAGTACGATTACCACTCTCTTTATTGAAATACTGGCTTTCCTGGGTGATCTGGAACTGAACCTCCAAACCTCTGGGGTACTGCATAGGCGTTGCTTTGGATTTGCCCATGTAGGCAAGGATTCATTCTTCAACATCCTTTACCAGACAGTTTCTGACTTTCTAATATGCATATTCTAGAAGACTCTGGGATTCTTACTGTCCATGAACAGCCTTATGAAAGAAAGATTTGTGAACACTTATTTACACAGTGAAATATGTATACAAAAAACTATGGAAAACATAGAAACTTCCCTGTGGGGAAAGGAAATGCTGTTATTATGTAGAAAAAGTGCCATCTGAGAGGAAGCTTAAAGAAAAAGTAAGCATTTTACAGGCAGAATGTGGGGCATGAGATGGTGCAGAAGGGCAAATGTTCTTCCCTCCCGTCCGCGCACTGGCCCTGCGCCGTGAGGGTCATGGGCTCGGGGTCTCGGCCAGTGTGGAGCAGAGCTGGGGTCTGACCTCAAGTTCACCATCCTCCAAGTCCATGTTGGTGATTAAGCCATAAAACAGGCTTTTGTTAGAGTGATATAAGGCTTTTTAATTTATCTATGAACCTAAGAGGAGGAATAATTTATATAGAAGAAATACCATACTTTTTTTTACAAGTTAAGTCTAGTTCCAAAATTAAATTGTGCCCTGAGCCGATTTCAGGGGAGACGTGAACGTGCAAGTCACACAGTTGCTGTCAGTAGGACTTTCTGCTTTCAGGGACACGGCACTGCCCCCAGAACTTGCGGCGAGTGGCAGGACAACTTGAGCAATTCTGCTCCTCACTACGCACACCTGATTGACAGAGTTGTGAAAGATCAGAAGATGGGGCAGGCAGCGGCTCCAACCTGAAGGCAGAGAGACGTTGTATATAAAAAGCTGTACGTGGTGTGCACAGCAGGAAATACATATTAACCGCTAATAATGGAACTTAATATTTTCAGATGATCAGGTATTCAGTCTTCTATTTTCCCTTGAGTTAGGGGTGAATCAGATTATGAGAAGGTAGCTTTTAAAAAGATGAATATAATAATTCAAGTGTCCAGTAGGGAAAAATAAGTGGTTTTGTGGATATTGTCTTAAATATTAGTGTATGTTGTATTGCGTGGTGTCATCTGTAACTATGTAATAGAATAAAATTTAAGAGCATTGTGCTAGGATTATTTTGCAAGGGGTTTTCTAGAGAGGCACGGAGCTATAGTAGAAAATGGCTTTTGAGAGTTGGACACACCAACCTTGGAAATCAGGCTTGTGGTATTGGGCAAGTTCTTTGTCTTTTCTGAGCCTTAGTTTTCTCTCATTTGTAAACTGAGGGTGTTGTGGTAGACGTTATTAAGAACCTTTGTAAATATAAATAGGACATTCCCTGGATATGAGGGAGAACAAGGAAGAAGTTGGCAGGGGGGATAGGAAGAATTAGAAAAAGGAGAGGGGAACGCAACAAAGAATACTCATATTACCCACTGAACTTGGCCTGGCTTCACTGGCCACCGTCCTGCAATCGGCCTTACTGTCCCTCACTGGCTTCTCTTCTGGGCTCTTTGTCTGAGTGGCTGGCACCTCGCTGCTTTGGGGCTTTCTCCCAGCGTTCTTGGAACTATTGCAACAAAGCAAACTAATGTTGATGGTGAAGTTAGCTGCATTTTCTCATTGGAACAATTTTATTATTTTTGACTAAGGACTTAGGTAAATTATAAGATTGGTTACCAGTGTAACTCAAAAGGAAAGATAAAACAGCTCAAATACTGTTAGCATTAGAAATAGTAGAATTACGCTCAACTGCTGTAGAACAAGTATAAGTATGTCCGACTTACTGAACATACAAGGATCCCCATATATTGTGGTGTGTTATTGAGCACAGCAAGAAAATGCTCCACCAGAGGGTAAATTTGAACCACTAGCCTAGTTATAAATAAAAGGAACTGAACATTTGGTGTGGCATCTTGCCTAAATTTAGACCTGCTGAGAGGTGGCTGGAATGGCTCTCAGAGTTGCGAAAGGCCCACCTGGGGAGCTTTGACTGGGGGCCCGCTCCCCGTTTCAAGTACGCTGCCTTGGGCCAGTGGCAGTGGTCCCAGGGGTCTCATTGACCTTAAGGCTGCACACAGAGTTAGAGCTGTTGTTTTATTCGAAAGAGTCCTGGTAACATCTTAATATTTGGAGGCAATATTAGTGATTTCTGGTGCACAGTAGGGACCCAAAGGTATTTGATCAGAGGGGGCTGTGAAAGCTGGGACACAGGATGGCCACCTGCGCGGCTGCTGTTTGGGGAGCTGTAAACAAGGTGGGTGCTCTGCACCTGCTTGAGCAGCGGCTGCGCTCACTTGAACAGGCCCAGCTTTGGTTGGCTTCCCATGCACAGGTCCCGAGCTGTGGCTCTGGCTGGACTTCTCCTACGTTTTGCTTAAAACCGGTGCCTCGCAGGCGGCCTTTTCATTGTTCCCGGTCACGCTGTGCTTAAGTGGACAGCTTGGGATGCCTGCCGGCACGTCGGGGAGGCAGGACACCATGACCTCCGGTCTGTGGGGGGCTCTTCCTCCTCCACAGGGCAACGTCCCTGTGCGAGTTTCAATTAAGGACAGATGTGTGGAGCCACACTTCACATCTGCAGAGCTCAGTGTGCAGCCGGCCAGAGCGCCCGCCCCCGGGTGTCTGATCCGGGCCATCTGGGCTGCTGCCCGCGAAGGTTTGACAGGCTCCTAGCTGCTGGTCTGGGGACCACATTCCAAGAGCTCAGGACACAAGACATTGGTTCTTAAACCTTCTTATGCATCATGTTGACCCTGCTCCCTGCCCTGATACTGAATTGAGTGAGAGAGGTGGGGAACCTGGCATTGGTATTTATGTTTCCCACGCGCTTGTGAAGCAGCTGGTCATGCACCAGCCTGCGAGCCGTGTGAACTGGGAGTCAGGCCTGCGGTTCTCGTTTGTGATCTGTGTGAGAGCCTCTGGTGGAGCTTCTTAAAAATGCAGTGCCGGGCCCCCTTCTCCTGGCCCTGCAAGTCTGGGAGGGGCACAGAGATTTTGCATTTCTGTCAAGTTACAGGTGGTGTCAATGCTGCTGGTTCTAGGACTGTACCCCGCGGGCCGCGGATCTAGGCCAAACAGCGCCAGGAGCTTTGCAGATTGTCTGTTATGATTTAAATAAGAGGGTTAGATTTAGGGAATGTGATTCTCTGACTACCTCTGCTAGATTTGAGTTTCTTTCCAGAGCTTTCATGTGACAATAATGTGCTATCCCCAGCTATGTCATTTAACTCTCCTGTGCTGTGAGAAAGTGCGTGTCCATGATTGTTTTCCGGGTATGCGTAATGGTTTTGAACAAAACTTAAAAATGGCAAATCTGAAAGAAAAGCCACAATTAAGGAAACCATTAAGAATGAACACTTAATAAGAGAAATAAGCATG